ATATATTTATAATATTTAATATAGAGTTATGGCTCCACAAAGTTGTATTACAGAGCCAGCAAAAGTATGGTATAAATGGAGTGAAAGTCTTGTGTGTCTCAACTTGGACAAAAAAAAAGTTTCTAATAAAAGTAGTCAAAATTTTGTAGTTATAAAGAACACTTTACATCATATTTATTACCAGTCTAAATTATTATTTATTCGTATATAAGAAAGTGAGGTCATTAACTTCATGGATAATAGATTGACGGGGGTGGCGCAACTAAAAAATCCTTATAAGCCCTACAACTACTAAAATGATTCAAAATATAAAAGATAAAACAGCGCTAATCAATGTCGACTAATATAAAAATTTCTTTATTCAAAAACATCTCAATTTTTGATAAAAATTTCATTTAATTTCAGCGCAGACGCTTTCATACTCCTATACAAACTTCTTCACCAAATTTAATATTTGCAGAATTTTTTTATGTTTAGTATATATCCAAAATATCACATTGAAACAAAGGCTTAAATTTTCACACAATGGTAAAATTTGGTTCATAGAATTTCCCCTCCCATCAAGACCTTGTCGCAAATATGTCAGATTTTACACAATTTCATTATATTGCTTCACTAAACACTGACAGCAAGTATCAAGTCGTGCGAAGCAAGCACGAAAGCAGAGAACTAAAAATTCTAGAAACAACAGCGGCAATTAGAACAACAAAATAGTTGTCAATGACATCAGTAACAGCAACAACAATAATAATAACAATAATCAGTGATAATCAGGACAAACGTGTCAAATAAATAGATGACAGCAGCGACACCGGGTTAACTGGTACATAGAAACGAGCATATACATAGCAACAATAGACAATACATTATGTACAGTATATACATTATTTTAAGAGTGTGCATGGACTACACATATATACAAGTACTAGCTTTTACCCGCGGCTTCGCTCGCATCGAATCCATCAAATAAATAACTGATATCATTATAGTAGATATGGATCCATATAAAGAATATATTTTATATATATTCCAATTCTTAGTTATGAAATTACGACGACGCGTGGTTCTTACTTCTGCATCATTAATTCTTCTTGCCTGCAATTGTTCTTGCGTTTCCGTTGCTCTTCTAGCTTCCTGCTGCTAAGCTTGTCTTTTCGAACGTACTCGTGCCTGATGAGAAGTTTCAGCTGCTCTCAAAACACGTTGTCGATCTGATTGCTGTTGCCTTCTCAGCTCTGCTTGAACTTCAAATTCTTTATTTCGTGTAACTTTAGCCTTACGCACCGGCGTAGAATATCTTGACAGCGCCGATTTCCGCTTTCGAGGCATTTTTATATTTAATAAGAGTAACTAATAATATTTGTGTTATTTCTCTGATTTACGTTTTTTATACATTTATGTTTTCTTTCATTTTTAATTTTTTCGACAAACAATCATTTCTGCCAAACTTTGTTTTTTCAATTTCAAAATTTTCAAATATATTTTCCAAACATATATAATCTTCTAAAATTATTTTTTTAATAATCCTTAAAAAATTTAAAAATTTTGTAATAAAAAGTATCCTATGTTCATTCTGACACCTCTAAGAGTATATGTACAAAATTTCATGATGATCTGTTAAGTAGTTTTTGCGTGAAAGCTTAACAAACAAACGGACTTTCGCATTTATAATATTAGTATAGATATATATACCATATATATACATGTATCGCAATATAATCGTTACCAAAACGAAATTGGTATATAAAAATGAATTTTATATGAATTTGATGACTTAGCCAAAGATTATACAGTGAATGTTAATAGGATTATAAGGACTTTTTTAATACGTTTAATATTAACGTTGTTTCAATTAGACTCGAAATATAACGAGGAAAGATTCAACTTTTTTCAAATAACCAGTGATCTGAGTCGAATAAGAATAATTTTTATACTTTTGCAACATCTTGCTACAGAGTATAATAGTTTTGTTCACCTAACGGTTGTTTGTATCACCAAAAACTAATCGAGATAGATATAGGGTTATGTATATATAAATGATCAGAATGAAGAGACGAGTTGAATTCCGAGTAACTGCCTGTCTGTTCATCCGTCCGCCTGCTCGTCCAAGCGATAACTTAAGTAAAAATTAAAAAATATTGATGTAACATAATACAAATGTTCCCTGGTACCCAAGAATGGTTCGTATTTAAGAAGAGCGAAATCAAGTAACTGCCACGCCTACAAAACTTCATGAATCGAAAAGATGCAAAGTACCATAGCTACATTATTAGAGAAAAATGGGCGTGGCGCCGCCCTCTAATAAGTTTAATGTACATATCTCCTAAGCCATTCAAGCTATAATAACCAAATTGGTTCAGGGCTCTGTGAAAATGGGTGAATTCGGATTATAATCTGTCCACTTCCTATATAACAGTTTTGTTAAAAACTACTAAAAGTGCGATAACTCTACAAAAACCACCTTTGAAACATTAAATTTTAAAGCCGAGATGGTACAAGAGGACTTACTAGGAATCGGTGTTGAATTGGAACGATGGGTGTGGTACTGCTTACATTTAGGTATATAAAAGCCCATATCTCGAGACCTACTCGACCGATTTCAACCAAATTCGGAAGGTAATATTATCCTAACATTTCAACATTACTGTGCGCAAATAGGCGAAATAAGACAAAAAATCCACGCCTACTTCCCACATAGCACAATTTTAAATTCCATATGATTATTTCACTTTCCAGTATACAAATCAAGAACCAAAACTATTCAAGTTCCTATTGCGAACTTTTTAACGAAAATATCGGTCAACCTGTCAGATATATTCTTGAAATTCGAAAACAAGTTTCCCCGTCTTTGAGCATGCAAGTTGCGTGGGTATGAAATTTTCGGTTACACCCGAACATAGCGCTTCTTTATTATTATAATTTTTTTTTTAACATTTGTTTGAAAAATAAGTATAACGAAAGGAATTCGCTATACTAGGATACAAATTAATTAAAATTAAAAATTAGTAACAGATATCAAATCTCTTTTTGTAAAGTTGGCCTTTTCATTTAAAAGTATAGTTTTTTTCTTGTATGATAAAGATCATATGCATATATCCCATTAAGGTAATCACAGAGATGCTTCACCAATGCCACCCCACCTCTAACCTATTTTTAATCATATTTACATCTCCGTTAATCAAATAGGTTATGCATTAGTCAGTTTTCCTTTATTCTTATTCTTATATTCGGAACATTTAGATATTTTGGCATTTATTCATATCGCTGAAACAACATTTTTCATTATATTAATTAAAAATTAAAAAACTATGATTTCCAAATTTCCAATCGGGTAGAAACGAAGATGATACGCTACATTCAATTAGGCGCCTTGAGGTATGCCAAAACTATGACACGTACCCACAACTACATACATATCCATACATATGAACAGTTGTATTGTATATAAAAGAGCATGAGTGCGCACACACTTTAAATGTGTCATTCCACCGTGCAACAACTTAACGAGCAACTTACACCACCACAGTTGCATTAACTCGACTCTTGTAGCATCTAACCAAATTACGCCCTTCAAATGGTATGTATGCTAACATACACTGCTATAACAATAGCGTTGTAAAAAGCAAAGAAAAACTGACAATTTTTAACAACAAAAGAGCAAAACGGCTGAAATAATATACCACAAATGTGTGCATTTTCAACCGATGTCGTCGTATTTGAACTTCTAGCTTGCAGCAAGTAATTGCAATTTAATTTCCAATTAGCAAACCAGCAACTAAATCGAAAATCCTTCCTGCCATAAGCACGTCGCATGCAACAAGACATGCAGGAAACTTAATTACTAGTACATCTAACATATATAAATATACAAAAATACACACACACACACGTGCAATTCAGTTATCAGCTGCCTAAGCTGCCTCATACAAAATGCAGTCGAAAGAGTAGTTGTGGCAGTAGTTGTTGTTACAGGTGGCGCTTGCTGAGTGTATATGTATAAATGTAAATAAAAGTATATTATATATATATTCATATATATATGTACATATAGCTATTAGGTTGGATCAAAAAACGAATCTTTTCTCGCTGGATACTCTTAAAAATAGGTTATGAGACACATCTAAGATAATATCTCCAAGTATACAAAACTATGTGTTTTCCGATTTATAATGATTTTTTTCATTAAATTATAAAATTCATACGAAAAAAATGTTTAATTAAACTTCAACCTTTAATATCTTTAAAACGATTAGGTTTACGAAAAAGACGTACGAGATCTTTTTGTAGATCATTCAATTTCCTACAAAATCTATTCAACAATATTTAAAACTTTTTACCTAATAATAAGAAAAATAGGCAGCGGGAAGGCTTACAAGTAAGAGCGTATACTCGGAGAGCCTTTCTTATAGGTGTCTAATAAGCTATTCTTCCAAACTAAAAAAAATCATTTTTAACCCACCCTAATATATAGCTAAGCAAACTAAAATGTGCTTGATTTCAAAAATAAAACTGCCTCGATACGTACAACTTACATATGAGTATGCTGTGTTGCCTCCATGCAAGTCTCTTGGCTATGAGTGTGTTGCACAAGCTGTCAATTGCTTTGTATAGCATTAAATAACAGGAAAAATTCATTTAAAAACTTTAAGGTTAGATTGGAAAATATTTTCATTTGTCCAGGCATTGTTTCAGGATCACAAAAATTAAAATATCAAGTTGTATTTAAAGAACATGGATATTTCAACCTTAAGCTCATTGAACGGTGCCTTAATTTCGACTTAATAAATATTTTTTTGCTTTCGCCAGTTTGAAAGCAAACTTCTGCGTTCGAACCTGACCGAAGCTCAGAAGTTATGTGAATCTATTCATCTAACGGTTATTTCTAATATATGTCAAATTAGAGCACAGTTAATTCAAATATTAATGTAGTTTTGTCTTTACATACATGTTCCTCACATGTACATAATGAAATATTTTTTGTCTCTCTTTTTTTGCCACAGCCTGTTGGAATTTATGCTAAGAAATATGAATGGGCCGCCCGTCCTTCCAGCAGCAGTAACGGTAATCTACATTTAGACCTACATCCGCCTCCTATGCAAATTGGCGGCGATTGTTCGCTGTGGATACGTTCGGCGACGCTTGACTTCGACGATGGCTTGTGGGAGTGCCAAGTGACGGCGAGTGATTTTACAACACAAGATGCACTCACCAGTCAGCCAGTACGACTGGTTGTCAGAGGTAAGTTGTTGTATCATATTAGGTATTATAATAAAACTGGGGAAATTTAGCTAATGTAGCTGTACTTTAGTGCCAAAAAGAAATTCTAAGCGGTAGAAAGGATTAAAAATCTGATCAAATCAAATCATCATCAAACTCATACTTCCTTTTCTCACCAAGAAGCTGCTCATTTGTCGGAACCACCGATATCGATTCACTATAGCATATAGCTGCCATAAAAACTAACCGATTCAGCTCAAGTCCTTGTATGCAAAACTTTTTTATTTCTCAAGGTTTCTTCACGAAATGTGCCACAGATTCATAACCAAGCCATCGCTACAATCTGCAAACTCTCTAACTTATCTCCTCATATTAACCGCCACTACCACTTTACTGCATTTTGCGTGTATTTATAAAGAAAATTGTTTTTTTTTTTGCTTCTAAATTAGACTAATTAAATTCTATTGCCCCAAGTTGTCGCCTGTTTTCCAATCAAGACCAATCTAAGCAAAGGTTAACCAAGATAAAGAAGCAATTGAAAAGTGTGAGAGCAAGAAAAGAAAGTTGAAAGCTGTTAGCTGAGCTTAGCAGCTGAGTCCAATTCAATAATTTGCCATCCTGTTGCACAGCTACAAGCTATGACTTACCTCTTAAAACTTAATTAATTTTAAATCTTATCTAATTTTCCAACACGTTGGCGGCAATTGCTATGACTTTCAAGGCTTACCTTGCACCTGATGTGCAGCCTCTGACATACTCAAGCGCCTGCAACTATGCTACCACTTTTGCGTATGCGTCAAGCTGATTCTGTGCGAGGTGTATGTGTGTGTGTTTGGGTATCATTAGCCACAAGTACATATAAATATGCTTACGCTTGTTTGTATGTTACACGAAATGCAAGTAAAAGCAAATTGAGGAAATTGACCCTAACTCAGCTCATGACTCCATGCTGTTTAAGCACTTACACTCTTCATGCATACACACACTTACAACTACATATACGTATGAGCACAAAAAGGAACATTTACTCATACAACTAAACTTGATTGGTATGCATCTTGTAACTCTCCACTCAACACATTTAACATAGAATCAACTCTTATCCGATTACTCATTTTACTCAATGTACGATTTTGCCTTTAACTGCCTTTATATGAGAACGGTCTTATACGCAAATATACATATGTAACTATGTAGATGCTCTTGAATTTAATTAATGTGCATACATACATAGAACTATTTGCAACAGTGATGCAAATAAAAGTGCTGTAATATGCTTCACAAATAAAAAAGTTTTTCATACAACTACTTGATTTTGAACATTCAGTTCATAATAAAAAGTGTATAGATCGCCACAAGGCAGTTAATAGCAAAAGATCACTCATACGCCATGTAATACATTAGTGCGGCATAACTTTAAGCAACTTTTCATGACTTGTATTTTATTTATTTGGTTTGAATTTTTTGATTTTCTCTTCTGACCATTTCTTGTGGCAACTCAATTAGTTCTCACAGCAGTTTTATTCTTTTATTCTTCTTCGCCAATTAGGCATATACCTTTTTACACGTATGTATTGTATATCTAAATTTATGAATTTCTGACTTTTTTCAGTGGTGCCACAACGTCCACGCTTGGAGTATGAGGGCGCACATGTTCCACCCGGACATAATATCACCATCGACTCGGGTGCTCTGGCGACCGTTAAATGCGTATCGCACTATGGCAATCCGCCAGCGACACTCAATTGGTATCTCGGTAAGTTGTATTTGCAAAATACTAAGGTTACACCTTACAAATGTACAATTATATAGATCATACACTATAATCTCTATATGTGGATATAGAAAAAATATAAAAATATATGCATGTACAAATATATATAAAATTAAAAAAGAAATTATATTTTAAAATAATTTCCAAAATATTTGGAGCAAGTCAAAACCGCACAGTATTTGATCATTTGGCGAATACTTCTAATCGAAATCCCTATAACAATCGAAATATATGTCAGTGCGTTAACCTAACATAACTTTTGAGGAATAGTATCCACTTAAGGGTTGGAAAACCTGTTTTATTGCCTTAAAATCTGGCTTCTTAAGCTGGATTCTACAAAAATATAACTCACTGTATAATGGATCATAAGCCGGGCTTGTTTATGACTTTATTCTCATCTTTTCAACTTTATCTAGAAATACGCTCAAGAATTTTTTGGACTCCTTTTTATTTTAGGGACACAAGTTTTGGTATTATAGCTTCGGTGCTGGCGAAGTTACCGTTTTTTTTTTACACAAACCAATATTTCGAAATTATTGCCGCAAATTAAGGTAACAATTGCAATTGTCAAAAATTTGTACCTGAAAGTTGTACCCCCGTAAACTTTCTTGAGCTACAACGTCACTATTCTAGGTGTAACCCTCGTATGAGCTTAGTTTTAATCATATAAACTAATTCAGGCACACCAAAATTATATTAACCTTCATACCACAATTGGTTGGCAAAGGATAATTGAACTTAGTTTCATACAGTATTGTTCTCACCGCTAAGCCAGCAACTTGCCACACCTACATGTCCAAAAACTACATTTTAGTTGCCACACATAAACTTAGTCCCTTTTTGGTTATTACTACTCTCGTAATTATTATTATTCTTGTTGTTGTTGGAATTTATTACGCATATCCATGCGTATTTGTGTATGTATGATATGCCAAGCAATCTAATTTGCACATGACCGGCCAGTAAGTGGCATGCTGAGCTACACCAACATAAGTATAACATACATATAATAATTATACTCATAATCCCACTAATAATCTGCACCTGACGCTACCGTAAAGCTTTTTAGCGCTATTACAACTATAGCCGTAATCTTAGTACACCTAATATAACTCAGCACTTACTCACACATATACAAATGTGTGTAATATATATTCATTTTTGGTTATAGTGGCAAGTACTTACCTTTATTCATCACACCTTAAAGTTAGCGTCTTGCTAGCATAAAATATTTACTCCCTTAAATTCCTTTGTTATATATAAAATATATAACAGTACTATAGATTGACCGACATTCCTCATAATTCATACTGACTCTTAATTGAAATTCTTCTTTCTCTTTCACTATGTTCTTCCAGGTGACCAAGAAATTCAACCGATTCATTCGCAAATCAACAACACCGAACCGGATAATCCTCGCACCTGGTCGGCGACATCAGTCGTGCAAGTGACAACGATGCGTGAACGTCATGGTGATATTTTGCGCTGTCTGGCCCATCATGAGTCTTATACGGCGAAATCTGTGCCGGTTGAGGCACGTTTGGATGTAAAATGTGAGTAGAAATATTTGTCATATGAAGTTGCATTTAGAGCGTGACGAAATAAACATGCATGTGCCATAAATAAAATTGACAGCGTTGGCCATGTATGTCTTGCCATCTGTCTGTCGGTTTATACGCGAACTACTCCCTGAGTTTTTGAGATATCAATCTGAAAATTTTCATACCTCCTTTCCTCACGAAGCTGTTCATTTGTTGCAACCGCCGATATCGAATCATTATAGCATAAGTATATCTTATGTAGCAGTCATGCAAAGTAATGGGTCGGAATCAAGTCCTCGTATGGAAAACTTTTTTATTTGACGAGATATCTTCACGAAATTTGGCATAAGTTATTGTCATCATTGCAATCTCCAAAGAAATTGTTCGGATCGGATCACTATAACATATAGCTGCCTTACAAACTGGACGATCTGAATCAAGTTCTTGTAACGAACCTTTTGTATTTTTGAAGGGTATTATGGCTTAAGAGCAACTAACGTTAACGCTTTTTCTTGTTTTTAATTGATAATATGTGAACCGAGATAATTTTGACAAATTAAACCGCAAATCAATGCAAGCAGCAGCCAAAATATAAAACACATATTACTTTGGCAGCAGCAGCTGTTGTTGCTATTGTAGTATAATCAATGAAATTAATTTTTCGTTTCACGGAACTATTCACGTCAGCCGGTCGACCTAAATTCTTTCGAATCTACGCTCCACTGACTGTCGATCACATCAGTCACACTAAACCACGCAGTAAGCCACAAATCAGCAAAAGCTTACCTACACATGCACAACTCGGCAACAATTTCAGTGCATGCGCATGTGGGTGTGCATATATATACCATATATAGATATATGTGTATGTATTCGTGTATCTCCATCTGTATTTATTGTGCTGTGTAGCATTTTCAGCAATCTATTTGTTTGCTATAAGCCAGTTTGTCGGTCAGTCAACCATCGCACCCATCAACCTCCAGCCACCAGTCACCAGAGGGTGTAACTTGGCTAGGCAGCCAATATTTCAATTTGGCCGTCAGCCAAGGAAAAGCCAACAAATTTGATCAGCTGCCTTACCAATAACTAGATGGTGAGTGCATCAGTTCCAACAACAACCATGTGCTGCCTTAAAAGCTTTTCGGCGGCTACTTCACTTTGTTTTGGTTGCACCAACGCCAACAACACCAACAATGACGCCACCGTGGCCACAGCGAAAATCAATTAAATTAACTGTGAATTTACACATTTCCGCGCATACCCTGCCTTCATACAACCGCCAGCACCAACGCCAGTGTCGGTTGAGTGAAGTAACAACATTTGTATGCCTGCGGTCTACCGTACGTGTGAATGTCTATATGTATAGTATGTACAAGTATATACATATGTGTGTGTGTAGGTGCGCTTTCTAACTGTGTGCTTGTCTGTCGCAATTCGACTTTGTCTCTGCGCTCTTGCTTGCTTTTATGCTTTTATTTAACTTTAATATTCCATTTATAGTTTATTGCTTTCATTGTTTTTGTTATTTTGTTGTGTATTTTTGTCTTAGTCGCTTTTGTTATTTTCCTTTTCACCTCGCAAATGTTTCGGCATAAATCCTTTAGCCTTAAGAATTTTATTGCTTTCTTAACGGTTTTATTATTGCTGTCAATAGCACAGCTTGTCGCAGCTCCGCTCCGCTCTGTTCAGCATAGTTCAGCTCAGGTGCCGTTGACCGGCTACGCCGCAGCCAACATTTATTATTATTGTTACAATTTTATGCTTCCGTTGCGCATTGTTTTCCTTACATTTGTGTTGTTTGTATTTTCACAACTTCTATCTTGTTGCAGATGCGCCAACCATCCGTCTAATTGGCTCACCGGAAATCGACTTAGAGGAGGATAAGGATGCGCTTATTCTGCGTTGCGTTGCCGATGCCAATCCACCGGCGAGTATTGTGTGGCGGCGTGCGGGCCGTTCGGAAATCGCCAGTTTGCAGGTGAGTCAAATTTCATAGAATAACATGGCGAATACATACATACATAGTGTTATAACAACAACAGAAATCGCTCTGTGGGGAAATTGTTTAAGCACTGGTAAATGCGCTTACATATACTCCTTTATTTGGGAAATAGAATTTAGTGAGAAATAGAAGCTGACTAAGAAGGTCACGGTGTTAGATATTATTTGGAAGTTACAAGTTGATATATCAAGAGAGCGTGCCGATAAATATGTTATTACTTTTATATATATTTTACTTGAATTTTTTTTAAGTATTTCTAAGAAACGATTGACAGATATTTTGATAGAAACCACACACATTTTCACAAAGTGATTTGATGCTCTAAGTTTCCAAGAATAAATAAATTCAACTGACCAAACCATGATATACTTGTATTTTTAAAATATAAAACTCATTACTAATATTACCTACATAGGTTTTCTTCCAAAGACCTTTAATTTAGTTTTATCCTAATGCTGGTTGAAATCTATGTGACTCCTATTTGATATATAACAATAACATTTAAATTTTTAATTAATGAAAATTTGTTACAGCTCTCAGAAATGTTGAAACTGTAAAGTGTTATTAATATTTTAAAAGTTTCCTAGAGAGTTGGCTGTCAAAGTTAACCCATATATTTGACATTTATGCTATGTATACTTCGGCAAATTATTATATTGCTCCAGTAGGATACCATACTGCTGTACTAAAACCGTTACTTTATTACTACAAGTGTGCGGTATTAAAATCAATTTTTAGCACATTACTGGCTACATTTTCCGAAATTCGCTGAAATAAAGCTATAAAATTATATCAAAAGCAAGGTTTTTATAATCGAAGGTCTCCCGATGCCTATGTATCCGACGCATAGTCAAAATATTATATGCCAAAAAATTTACGAATCAGTAAATGCAAAAAGTGTAAAATTTCATGCATGTTTTTGATTAGAAATAAAAGTTATATACTCAAAATCAAAACACTCTTCAACCATTTTCAACAAAACCAAACGTAAAGGTATTGGAACAACGAAATCACAAAAATTTGGATATATAACCAGTAATAGTCTGAAAAAATTTTACACATCTAAAAATCGCAGGCATAACTGCCTACACGGAAGGCTAAACATAAAGGCCCGTTTCTCCTTGTGAGGAAATTTAATTTAAATATTATTTTACTTCTTTTTATACTTAGAACAGGGTATATTAAGGTTGCCACGAAGTTCGCAACAGAGGCAAGTGTCGGAGATCTTATAAAAAATATATATAAAGGATAAGCGTGACGAGCGAAATAGTCCCTCAGTTTTTGAGATATCGCTCTGAAATTTTGCACACATCTTTTTCTCTGCAAGAAGCAGCTCATTTGTCGGAACCGCCAATATCAGACCACTATAGCGTATAGCTGACATACAAACTGAACTATCGGAATCAAGTGAAATTCAAAATTTTATGCGGCAAGATATCTTCACGAAATTGTTACCCAAAGCATTGCTACAATATTTTAATAAATTTTTTAAATCAAATCAAAATCAAGTTCTTGTTTGGAAATTTTTTTTTGTGAAGGGTATTCTAGTTTTGTTTCAATTGAAGTAAGCGTGTTTTATTTTATTTCACTAATTTCCTACACTTTTTCTTTCATACGCACAGGAAACACTGCAACTACGTCCTGTAGGCCGCCGTGATGCCGGACTCTATACATGTCAAGCGCAAAACTCTGTGGGCACCTCAGAGCAACTCTCCGTTCAGTTGGACGTTAAATGTAAGCATCTTCTTTTCCTTTCAGCATTTTATCAGCAGTAATTTCAAAAATTTCAGTATATCTCTCACTGCTCATCACACATCTTTCATTTTGTGTCTTTCTCTTTTCTAGATCCACCAAAAATAGTTTCGGCCGGCCCGGATCGGCTTACTACAGCGCCACTATTCAGTCCAGCCGCATTTGAGTGTGTCGCCGAGGGGAATCCAATGCCCAGCTACAAATGGGTGCAGAGGTATGTATAGAAACAGCAACTAAAAAAAATACTGTACTTATTTACTGCGTTGATTTAAAGTTTGCGTTTCAATATAGTGCTGGACAACACGAAACTTTAATACGCTGCCATCAAATGTCGCCTTAAATCAGTTTTTACTATTTGCTCCGTCAAAGTTTAACGGCATCAGTGCTGGTACAGTTGAGCCCAATTTCATATTTCAATAGCCTTTGGCGGTAGTCAATCCTTTCGCGTCTAACTTATAATCTATTTGAGCAGCAGCTTTATCACCACAAGCGACCACAAGTTGTGCCTACAAGCCTACGGTCGTATTAACGCCACAAGCCCACCTGTGCCACGTTTGTTGCAGTGAACGGCAAATTTTCAATTTAATTTTTCCACGAACCCTTTTCACCGTTGCCGCATCTCTTTGGAAGTTCCGTGTAAATGGTCCATGTTGTCACGCGTATTTCGTATATTTTAGTTTTTTTTTTCTCTTTCTCGCGTACACTTTTACGCAGCAGTTGCAATTTTGTGTCGCCCTCGAGGTGTCTACATATGCTGCAGCAACACTGTTCGCTTCGTTAGTCTGGACAGATTTGGCTGTGGGCTACACTGCTTGTCACTTTTCCGCTTGAGTTGATTATGCTGCGGTTGTGTGTGTTACAGGTATGCCGATATATGAAGGCCTCATATTTTGCAATCACTTTCGTTATTGTGTTACCTTTTTGATTTGTGATGTGAACGGAGTTAGCTAAAAACAGTTAATGTACACTTAAAACAGTCGACTTTTTCCGTTGTCACACAATTAATTCAGCTACATTTGTTCTTCGGAAGCTAAGTACATTTGTTAACTGACCAGTCTCTTCCATCTGCTTTTTAGCAATAAAGATATGTGATACCAAAACATAAATCAATAATATTATTTTCTTGATTAATTCAACAATCATCTTTTTTATTTGTTTGCTGACTGCATTTCGCATTTTTAATTCATTACTCATACGCCATGTAGCACAAGCATTTTACTTTCATATGACCAATGCACAGCAAGTGGTATAATATATTATATTAATACCTTATTAACTCAAAAAACTGTTTCTCACCCCATTCCACCGATATTTTCTGTGCATTTGAGTTTAAAATCCAGCTTATCGCAGGCATGAGTCTGCTTTCGCACAGATAAATATATCGCTCAACAATTTGTGTTCGTTCATTCGGTTATTTAATTACAGCTAACAATTTTCGTCGGCAATTAAAATGTTATATATGCAAAAGTTACTGTTTATACGTTAATATGATATATACTTATACATTAATATTTGTGTATATGTAAAGGCATTATCTTGCGATTGCTTAAATGAGCTGAAATTAAAGTCATTCGACAGTTGAAGAAAAATTAACTGCACAGTCATACACACACATATATATACACAAATGAGTATTTTATGCACTCTTCAAGCATTTTTTCACAGCGTGTTTCCGTTTCCTCTTTGCGGTTTTGCACACAGCTGCTACATCCGCTACCAAGGCGCTGATACGTGTGCCGCAGACATTCTTTCGCATTCTAGTTGTTATTGTTTCTTCTGTCTGTTTGCGGTTGTAAGCTATACATTTATTTGCACAACATCGCTGCAATTGTCTTCTTATATTCCTGTTGTTTTTTTGTTGTTTTTTTTTCGCTTCATTTGTTTATTTTGTTCAGCGCTTGCCATGCCGGCGCTTGCGGCATTTTACCATTGCTATTGCACGATTTTTTAATTAGCAACGTCAGGAAATTGTGCGCCGTCAGAGCGCAAACGTAGGACTGATTGCTACTTTCTCCAGCCATACAATGCGTTTATTCGCAGACGACATTCAGCTGTAAGATGTGTAATTAGAAAAGGAAAGGAGGAAGCGATAAGAAATTTTGATAAGAGTAATATAATATTGAAGACAATTATGTTAAGTAAGATGAAGTCTTGCTATATTTACTTTTCTTTCTTTCTTTAAAATTAAATTTATTTCGCCGCAGTAGTTAACTGCTTTTGGATTCTAACTGTTATGCGATATGCTGTAAGCTCGACTCTCAAATCAAAAAATACAATTTTGGAAGTTCTTATCTCTTGCAACAGTATCTTATTAAAGGATAGCGCATTTCTTAAATCACCTCTGAGATTTAGCTAACTCCTTCGAATATGAGAAGAAGAGAGAGAAATCTTGCTGATCGTCTTTATACAATATATAAAAGTAGAGATAATATAATTTTTTAAATTTAACCGTAGTTGAATTCAAAATACATATATCATCCAGCTCTCAAAAGAATTAGCAGACTCTCCATATCACCATATGTATTTCGGGCAATAAATAATTAAGTTAAAACCTTTATAACTAACCTCCACAGATATTCCTATTTCCAAAAATCTTCTCACTAAATTTAAAGGACATTTTCAAGCAGCAGAGTTTGAAGAACCGCTCCTTTCATGATTAATGAATAAGCACAGATTATCACCAAAACTGGTAGAACAATCTACTGTATTTAAGCGTACAAGTTATAACTCGCAAATGTAAGCCAAAGTTTCTTGATTATAGGAGTATAGGTACTTATTTATTTTATTTTTTATATTTTTCTGGTATAATAGAGTAGTTAATTTTGAAAAACAAAAATTATAGATGAAACCCATTGATATGAAAGAAAAAATAACACAAAATAAAGAAAAAATTATTTGCAGACGATCTGCGCTCGGAAAAAGGAAGTAGACGGGGGTGGGGGTAGTGAATTTTTAAGGAACAAAAGCGGGTTATGTCGATTTCCGGCCAAACTACGAGTCCTATAAAAAAAAAATATATGACTAAGTTGTAAGTAATGAAAAGATCTACAACTTTGGTATATACCCCATTGCACATAACCCCAATATTTATGTGAAAAATTCAAATATTAAGTTTTTGAGTTTTTTATTTTATGTCTCAAATACACTGTTTTTTTTTTTTAATTTAAAATACCTTTTTTTTGACTTAATATCGAAAAACTCCTAAATGTGAAATGTAGAATATACGCAACCAGGAAGGCTTTTTCTTTTTATTTGAAAATTTTTTCCTAATCAATGTCAACGAAAGCACAAAATGTTCTCAGATACTTTTTGGGAATAGATGCTGTTCGATTCTCTAGAGAATCAGTTATTGGTACAACTAACCGGTGTAATATTGGCTAAACATTTTCAGGACAAATAAATAGCTATTGCTGCGATATCTCAACGCTCCTAATACCTAGTCAACTTTTTCATAACAGAAGATTAAACTCAATGCTTATAATATATAATATATGACAATGCAGACAATTGTGACTGATCGTTGAACTAGTAAATAACCAGATGTCCCTTAGACTTCTTTAAACTCCCAGACTTTGAATAGTTCAGCAGTTTATAAAAGGTGGATGTTCCCTCAATCATAAAGCTGCACTAAACTTATCAGTTAAGTACGCATACTTTTAACATAGGTTCCTCACAGGTTGTATATTGTTATAACCCTCTGTTTATGATTCATCTAACTCAAAATTTTGTCAGACAGCATACACATCACTCTGACTTCCATCTCAGTGCTATCAATTTGTACTTAGAAGTGAAGGCCATCAAAATAGTTATATAAAAAGTGGGAACTAAAAGCTTGATTGAAGGAAAGCTACTTAAAGGAAAGTCACTTAGTTTTGAAAATATCACTTAGCACTGTGAAAATTTCTTTTGTCTGAAAACGAATGGACTTACACTGCATAGAAGATAAGCATCTTTTACCTAATCCACGAACGCTTACACCTATTGTCTTTTCCAAATAGCACCTGGATTTCCTAGCACCCTTCTTGGCTGGAAATTGCCAATTACACCAAAATTTGTCTCTTTCTCTCTCTGTCTCTCTCTGAAGTTGAAGCAAATATTATATTAATAATAATGGCAGAGCATCTTGGATTAAGATAACATATACAATGTTATACATGTACACTTACATACAAACATTTTTATTGTTATTATTGCCGCTTGCTGTGCAAATAAAAAAAACTTCAACAGCCACAAAACATGTAAACGTGTGAGCAATGAGATAAAAATGTTTCTCAGTAATGTTGTGGTGGTGATGTTTGCAAAATAAACACTCCCACAACGTCACACACATATATATATATGTGTATGTATATAAATATGGGTGCATGCACAGGTCCTATGTGCTAATTAACATGCAAAGCGACAAGCGGTTGAAGGAAAGCGAAAAGGAAGTGCACAGCGATAGCGGCAATTGCAACCACAGAAACAGCGAAAAAACAGCAAACAACAAACAATAACATTACAAAATACCAAAGCAAGCATATACCGCTGTGTAAATGCTGTGTGTGAATAAGCATGAAATATCTCTGCATGCTTTGCACGCATTCACATACGTGGCAAATACCATACGTGTGTAGTGGTAATAATAAGTTTTTTATTTGTTTTATAATTCAAGTTTTTATGAACTTCCGACTAAATATGTACAAATTTAAAAGCCGCAGCATACATGTAATTATATAAGTCCTATGCTATGTAAATATATATGCATATATGTATGCATGCGTGTGTGCGCTTGTGGGTTTTGCGGGCGCTAACTTTTCTTTAAACTTTATTTCTTATTACTTTTATTATATTGTTTGTATTTTTTATGTTCTTTCGCATAACGCAAATATCTACTCATGTGGTTCTTACAGTGAATGCTCAGCCTGCATATGTATCTTAGGGATATTAAAAATTATTGCATTTGCTAAACGAAGCTTTAAATGACATTTATAGTGTTTAAAGCAACATAGAAATTAAAAATGATATAAAAATACAATATATGAAACCACTGTTAAAAGAAACGCAAAATAGGCGTATATTATTTAGTAATACATACCTATAAACATATATTAAAATCGACCTAGTTAACTCAAATCAGATACATTTATATTATAATAACTGTGGATACCTAAGGACATATTAACCGAAAGTTCAAAATTCTCATATTAGGTATATGGGAGCTAAGGGAAATACTACCCGATTTTATCCATTTTTAGCATTACGACATATCATTACCAGAAAAAAAGTATCTCATGAGTTTCATTAAGATAGCTCCGCGTATTATCCAATATAGTTATAAGGTGTGATTATTACCTATGTGTATATTACCCATATGGGTGCAATGAAAAATGTTCAACCGATTTTATCTATTTTAGGCACAAAGATAAACTCATTTGGAAAGACATTCGCTCTGTATTTCATTAAGATAACTCGCATATTGCCTGATATATAGTCAACTGGAAGCTGGAAAATATTTATATATTAGGTCTATGGAGGCCATTGGAAGCAATAACCTGATTTTACCCATTTGCAGTATCAAGACAACAAAAGACACCTATTTTAATTGTTATAGTGACCGCTATTTTCGGTCATAGTATTGGGGGCTTGAAAAGTTATAGTCCATTTTTAACTATTTTTAGACATGAGAAGGCACACCTTAAAGGCGCTATACGTGCAAAGTTCTATCCCGATATATTACTGAAAAGTGAAAGAACCAGATGGAATTTATAATTCTGCTATATGGAAAAAAGTTATGATTCGATTTCCTTAATTTTTGCACTGTAATATACAAATGTTAGGATAAAATCACATACCAAATTCGGTTGAAATTGGTCATGTAAGTCCTGAGGTATGGAATTTCTAATGAAAGTAGGTGGTTCACGTCCCTTGTCTAATTTTGTCATGGGTTCATGGCAAGCGCTTTCGTACTATATAGTAGGGAGGAGCGAAAAAAAAATGTTTTTTGCTTAGCCTGAGTGTAAAATTTGTAGATTATAAAAAAAGAAAATTTTTGGAACATTTTTTTTTTTTAACATCTAGAGGCCCATTCACCATATTTATATATACTGTCTCTACTTACAAAGAATTAGTAGTGCTACCTGTCGGGGCTGGTGACCACAGAACTATTTTCAATTCTTGTTCAAGGACTTATGTAAACGGTCCTGTTGCTCATAAAATGCGAACTGCCTGCTGTAAAAATATTCCTACTTCAGTAATATTTAACAAATTAAGGCAACAATCAAATGCCAATAAATGGGTAAGGCATGTATTATTGCTTTAAATAACTTACATCGTCAGAAAAAATTCAAATTTTTAACTTAAATTTCCATATACAAATTTCACTTTTTATTAAATGAACTTTTTACCTGCTTTTTACATACCAGCAATATTTGATACAAAGCCTTTTATAAATACTATACCTACTTTATTGCATTTCGAGCGCCATATGAAGTAGCAACCGGAATGCAGCGAAGAATTTTTAATACTTGCTGCATGCTTCAGTCAATCAGTTGCTCATATACCATAGCTCGTTCACTACATGTCAGCCGCTACATGCATTGAACAGAGGCAACTTGATGGCAGACAATCTTATGGAAAAAACCGTTATGCAGGCTTTTTTGCGCACTGTAATATGTTAAGCTGTTTCATATAAATAACTTTTGTGGTGAATTGTTTTTTTTTTTTTGCTTTTCTTGTCAAACATTTTAAGCGTTATTGCTGAGGGCTATTTTCGATGAATTATTGCTTTGGATTAAAATTGTGTTAAACAAGCTCTTTTTGCATTTTAAACCATTTAAATCAATAAATGTTTTATTTTATTTTCTAGAATTGCGCACGGCTCCAAGTTTGTGGAGCGTGGCAGTGAGCCACGCCTTGTTATTGACAATGTCACTTACGATTATCAGGGTGAATACGAATGCCGTGCCACAAATTATATTAATGGGCAGGAGCGCGTTGCTGTCTCCGAACCGATTTCATTGCAAGTTGTGGGTAAGTAAATTATATACATATATTTTTGAACGTCAATCTATTAGTATACCATAAATATAGCACTGGTTTTCTAAAGCGATCATTCCCTCCTAAAAAAAGCGTACATAGATCAGAAGACCACACTCTAGTAGTGAAATAATTTATATGCGAATATTATATACTCGTACTATATTAAATGTAGAACAGCTTCCTGTAACTCTTATGCGCGCTTTTGTAATAAACTGTTATAGAACATGTAACAACTTCGCTTCCCATTCATTCCAACTAGCCGATTTCTGCGAGCCCGTTCGGCTGTACGCATAATAGTCCCGAAGTTAAGATATCGCTGTAAAATTTTGCACACGCCATTTTCTCCTCATGTGACTAATTATTTGTCGGAACCGCGGATTCCGGGTCACAATAACATATAGCTGTCATACAAACTAAACAATCGGAATAAATATAAAGCTTCTTCCACTTCTAAGCCTATTATCCAACAAATCTTTAAGCGCATGTAAGAAATTATTGCAAAGTTTTTATTATGAACATCTTCACCACGATTTTTAAATCGTGATCTTATGCTAAAATTATAAACAAATCCTTGAAATCACTTCTATGATTTAAAAAAAATATATATTAGCGTGCATATGACCGTATAAATACTACATATGGCCATTCGTATAAAAGCGTGTGCGCGTATGTAAATGTTACATAAATAAGCCGCTGCTACTGATTTTGCCAGCACTGCTGCTGCATATAATGCATAAATATACAACGAAGTAATACGCAAATGTGGTCAGTTGCAACAGCAACAGCGGGCACAACAACAATACCTAAAGCAACATCCGATAAACCGCACAACTAACAAACTCAACTTCCAAGTCAAGCTAACTGAGCAGAAAATGTATCTAGTTGCAAGTTCAAATGTGAAAATACAAGAGGAGCATTGCCAGCAAAAGCAAAACTGCCATGATATTAAAAAAACAAAGAATTTAAAATGTGTTTTCGTGTTGTTTTAAATTACATATGTTGTTAGGTTGTTGTTGGTACTGTTGTTGTTTTTAAGGTCACAACGACAAAAAGTCTGACTTGCAACCGTAGCATTTGTTGCATGTTGCAATATTATTTGTTGTTTTTATTGCAAGCGTTAGCTCATAAATTATGTGCGTGTGGCAACATATATGTTGAGGCAGTAAATTTAAATATCTTTTGCATTTTCAATTTTTTCCTTCGTTTCTTGTAAACATTTGTCGTTTTTTCCATGTTGTTGTTGTTGTGTTCATTTTTGCGGTCACTGACAAAGTTTTTGTGGTTGCCAGGAGTGTGCGAAACCAATCTGCAAGCGCATGCATACACAAGTATATACACTTGTATATACTAGTAGAGGCTACATATTTATACGTAAATATGTATATGTTTGTGTGCGTAAATTTGTTGCAAGCAGGTTGAAAAGTTTTTAACCACACTGCTCCACTTGCCGCTACTGAATTTATATGCTAACGCTGTGTTTGCTGTTGCTTATGACTGTTTAATAACTTCACCTGCATTGTATGACCACCATGTTGCATGCAACATTTATTAAACTTGACGTCAAATCGTGTTGCTTGTTTGCTAATGTCATATGTTTTGGGCATATGTATATTGCAAGTTCTTTAAGTCGGTGTTGGTAAAAAGTATTTCCGCAGCACCGAGAGAGAAGAGGCAGCAGCAATCGCTTGAAAGGGTGCAAATACCAAATACAAAAAATACTTGTAGTATTAAAACCCACTTACTGCTCATTGCTCCTCAATACTGTTCGGTTTTGTTGTTTACTTTCATATTTAATTTTAAATTGTTAATTTTTTTCCTAAACCAATCTTTCTTTATAAAACTTATTCATTTAATCGTAATTTCTTTTTTTTTTTGTATTTCAGGCGCACCACAAGTACTGCGCCCACATCCATCGATGCACACAATATCGGTAAAACGTGGCCAGCCGGCCGTTATGTCACTGGTGGTTTGTGCAGATCCACGACCACATCGAGTCTCATGGGAGTGGGGCTCTTTGCGACTGGAAGCTGGTTCAGGAATTGGTGAGTTCAAGATAATTTATTTTAGAGAGCTGGTATCTTTCGTTTTAAAAGCAAACTTACTTATTTAGAAAACACTCTGACTTTATCACGTGCAACGCAATAACAAAAATCTCAAAGCTTAAGCTGTTGCTTGGTCACTGCTTTATAGTGACACATATTTATTGTAGGGTCACAGTATAGAACGGATGATAATATTATACTGTTTAGGGTAACAGGGTGTATTTTGTAACATTCAGAAGTAAACGTCGGAGATATACATATACGCGAACTAGCCGTTCAGTTTTTGCGTTATCAATTTTCGAACTTTTGTACACCTCCTTTTCACTAAAAGAAGCTGCTCTTTTGTCGTAACCGCTGATATCACTACAACATATAGCTGTCATACGATCAAAATCAAAATTAAGATCCTTCTACCTTGCCCTTTTAGGATATAAGAAATGATATGGTGAAGGGTATTATAGGTTCCATGCAGTTTGCGTCCTTTCCTCCTGAAGAAGCTGCTCATTTGTCGGAACCGGCGATATTCGATCATTATAGCATACGCCGGCCAAACAAACTGAATGGTTGGAGTCAAGCGTTAGTGTAAAAAGGTTTTTATTTGACAAGATATCTTCCAGATATTTGGCATGGATTATTATCTAAGGCTATGGTATAATTTCCAAAGAAATTGTTCAGACCGGACCACTTTAGCTATAATATAAACTAACCGATAAAAATATACAAATCAAAGATACGAAATATTTTGTAATTGTGAAGGGTGTTATAGCTTCGGTGCAGCCGAAGTTAACAATATTTCTTGTTTTTTTTTTCTATACGACATTTTTATATATAATATATGTTTTATAATTCAAACGTTCAATATAATTCCAAGATCTTGATCATGCAGAACAGATTCTTGAATTTTTATAAACCATGTCACCTTAAGGTTGCTTTTAAGCTCACGAAATACCCTATGGTAATGTGTTTTTTTGCCTTAAAGATATGCGAGCGAATACGAGCTATTCAACTGTTCATCTTTGAAAAATACCATTGTCGTATCCTGGGTCCACAGTATTTAATTCGCGTTTGTTTCGGCAACATTCCTATGACAAACTGATTTAACAACGGTAATGAAGGAATCTGGCTGGATTGTACACTAACTACATATTAGCAGATATGACTTAGAATTACTTTAAGATTCCATAGAAAAGTATCGTTTAAGCCGTTTGTGCCTAAATTATTCCTGTTCTATCAATAAGTTTGTTGTAGTTAACTAGACGAAGTTTCTTTTGAAGTTAGAAAATTCAACAAGTTATCTTCCAATCATCCTTCTTTTATTCTTACTTAATCACCATTAAATCCTTAAAATAGCAAAACACTCTTTCACACCATTTGATATTCTTGAAGTAGAGCGCAAAAATCTGAAATCGATTGCATGTTGAAATCCAAGTAAGTACAAATAAAACAGTGCTATCAGACTTACAAACATTCAAGAATGCCCAAAATTTGGTGCATGAACACACAATCAGCTGCAACTAAGCTCGCCTTTTTGACTGAGCCTTCAAAAAATCCTTGGCTTGCCATTTTGAAAGAAAATAAATGAGCTGATATGCCATTTGCCGTCACAAAAGAAAAGAGTTATGCAACGCGTCAGTTCAACGGTCTGCTGCAGTCACTCGCATAGCTCGGCCAACGTTCCCTTGGGCAGCGGTTACAGCATTCGACTGCTGACGCATGCGAGTATGTACTGTACACGAAGGCATTTCACATACCAGTTATTGACTGTGTGCAGTTATTTGTAGGTAAATGAAGTGCAATCAGTGTGCCCATTGGTGGCACACATGTTAAGCCATTACTTTGCACGTGCATAACACTCATACGCCCTGTTGGCCAAGAGCCTATATCCGTATGCAGGTGAATGTCTTTCGTAAATCAGACTGGTTGTGCACAAGCATATAGCTATAAGCTACGATCTCTGCAATTTTCTACGACGACAGACGTTTTCCTCTGCTTTGCCGTTCCGTTTGCCTGAATTTCGACAATACTATACTTTGCCAAGGTTCTCTTTATAAAACCTTTACGTTTACTTTTGCTTTGTTCATTCTACTGTTTCACAATTACAAACATTGTGTTTGACATAAGCTGTAACATAGGTTGCTTTTGTGGCACTTACGCATTTTTGCAGCCTACTCCACTCGTTATATTCGTACAAGAATCACATGTGCCTGGCTGCTGACGCAAGATGCATTGAAAAAAGTAAGGATTTTGATTTCATAATTTTTCACCAGCATCCTGCACTAGTACTACCGTTTTCAATTGCCTTGTAAAATTAAACAACTGCAATTTCGCAAGCCATTTAATCGCTGTATATTAGAAAATTTAGTGATTTTAGAGTGAGGATCCAAAGTGAATTTACATAGGCATATACTTAAGATTAGTCAGGTGTGTGTGTAAGTATGTTCGCTGACCATTTTCTTGTCTCTTATGTACCACTTAAGTGAGGTTATGGCTTATTTAGCCACACTCCAACTTTTTTAATGACTGCAAGGCAGAACAAAGTGTTGCAGCCGTGTAAATGACTTTAGATTTTATGTCTAAATTTAGTTACGGTCCCAAAATTTTGGTTCTGAACTTAAAACACAATTCGTTTTTCAAATTAGCTCTAAAATACTCCGTTTGCTTTCTATCTTTCGCTTGTCAGTTGTTTACATGTGCTGATTAATGTCAAATGTTCCCGACAAGCCACTTCATCGCTTTTAATTATTTTTGTTGAGACTTTTTACTGCTCTTCGGATTTTGTTTGTGATTTGATTAGACGTTTCGACCATAGTTTCGTACAAGTATACTCTTTGAAGCCCAATCACATTTCGTTTGAATATAGGCAACCGTCTTTTGAAATATAATACTTATATTGTGAAGATGGAGTGTGAGCATTCTCAACATCCATTACAGCAGCCATGTAAATGCTTGTCGCATGTATACCAGTACTGTATTGTTCACTCTCATTCTAAATTCAATGCGGAACATGACGCTACTTGAAAAACTAATATTTTTAAGAAACTAGAAAGAAAAGTGCGTATTTTGATAGAGAAAAAAATAGTCCGGTCGCTACCCTATTTGAAGTCTTGTAGTATTTCTTCACATTATGAGAAACCCTAAACTACTACAGTCTATGATGTCAAACTATCTTCAATAGAATGTTAAAGCTTATTTCTGTATAATAACTCAGAAGTATATAAGTATTTTTATTATTTACAGAATATTATATTACATATCACGTTCGTTACCCATTTTCATCTGTATTACTTTACAATCGATCAATATTAGAACCAGTTTAGTATATATCGTCGAAATTTACTTATTCGACTTTTTTACGATCTTTTTTACACTGATCTACAACAATTTTTTAAGCTATGACGTAAAAATATTCAACAAATGTCTTTCTTTGATGATCACTTTGACCACAGGTCGTCATCTTGGCAATAAATCCCCGCGTTTCCCATTGACAGCCGAGAAACGATCGCCAATAAAATGACTTTATTATGCTTAGAGACTGTAAGAGACCTAAGACTATATACAAGACATTACATTTCATTAGAGCTCGCAGAAGATTAGTATTGCACACAAAAATACACCAATATCATTATATTAAAATATAACAGCACGTTAAAGTACATATATAAAAGGGGCACCATTAAACACAATCACTATACAAATTTATTTCCTATAGTGTTTTTGTACACACACACTTACATATGAGTAGCTGTAGGAGCCTGAAATATTTTGGGGCATTAATTATCGCCAGGCAGGCGTCGCAAGAAAGTTGGCATAATTAAAATTGTACACATTTGTGTATAAGGCATGTTTATGTACACTGCATGTACATGCATATAACTATGCTCATGTCTCTTGCCATAATCGCTGGACTATTTTGCTATATATAAATTTTTTCTTTCAGTTTGCTGCACGGCTGAAGGCCTGTGGCCATGCAGTCATAAAGTTTAATTTATTAATTTTGTTTTTATTTTTTATGGAGTTAAAATAATATTTGCGTGCCAGAAACTTTTTAATTATCAGCTGAATGGTAGATTTAAAAGCAAATCAACATAGAGAAAGTGTTAATACAAAAAGGTAGGGAAAACAGCCATGTAAAAACTGAGCGAAATCACAAATTGTTTAGCATAAAATTTTATAATTTTTAATAAAGTTTATTTGGACTAAGCGTATAGAAATGAAATAAGGCCACGCAATGATATTTAAATATATGTTACATAAAGAACAGTTTGTCGGCTCACACTCGGATGAGTATTGAACCAAAACCAATATTTTAGAGATATTTTTCATGGGGGGTTTTTTTTCATAACTGGTTCTCCGGTTTTCGAAGTCAGCATTCAAATTCGTGATATATTCCTTTGAATTTTGAAATTAAGCTTATTTTAAACATCATTATTAATTATAGTTTGTTTGAACACAAAAATTAAAAATGCGAAACTAATATAATTTTCCTCTTAATTCAATGGTGTATAACATTATGAGAGATCAAAGTTGAATTCTCCACAAAAAACAATCTCTTACTAAAAAGAACATATCCTCGTTCAGCGCTATAGGCTCTTATACTGATTAAAATTTCGAATATTCATCTTTAATTTGCAAGTATTCGGTATATTTGCCAACTTTCTTTGAAGAGTCCGTTCAAAAACAATTTTTCTTTTAGCCTTAAAGCATATGCGATGGCATCCTGGGTTGAGTTTTACTCCATACACTAGTCGTTTAAAATTTATAAATCTACCTACACTTACTAGTCATTAGAAAATGCTTGGCATAATATTCGTAAAGGAAAACCTAAACGGATCAGTTGGCAGTTTTTGTCTCTGGTATGAAGTTCAACTAAATATCCAAACTCATTTATGGAGGCAGTTTAGACTTAAACAAACAAAAAAGGACTTGAACTTGATAGTTCAGTTTGTATGGCAGCTATATGCTATAGTTATCGGATCACAATAATTTCTTCGAAGATTGCATCGATACTCTGGACAATAATTTGTGCCAAAAAACCCGAACTTCGGTTGCACCGAAGCTATAATACCCTTCACAAATACAAAAGGTTCCTTAGAAGAACTTGATTCCGATCATTCAGCTTGTATGGCAGCTATATGCTATAGTGATCCGATCTGAACAATTTCTTCAGAGATTCCATTATTGCTTTAAATAATAATTCGTTCCACATTTAGTGATGATATTTCGCCAAATGAACCAGTTTTCCGTACAAGCACTTGTTTCCGATCGTTCAGTTTGTATGGAAGTTATATGCTTACCATGAATAACCCATGCCAAATTTTGAAATATTCTCATCAAATACAAAATTTTTGCATTTAAGCATTTGTTTCCGATCGTCCAGTTTGAATGACATATAGCTGTAAATAGTAATATAGTAGTCCGATATCGACAGTTCTATAATGAATAAATAAATAGTTTGCTTCTTGGGGAGAAAAGGACGTGTGCAAAATTCCAGATTGATATCTCAAAAACTGATGGACTATTTCGCGTATTTACAGACAAACGGATAAACAGACGAACGGACAGACAGACGGAATTGCTAAATCGGCTTAGCTCAACATGCTGATCATTTATATATACATATGTATTTTATAGGGTTCGTTCTAGGCGTTACAAACTTCGTGGCAAACTTATTATTATGTGTTCAGAGTATAAAGATTCAGACAGTTTTAGATCTCGACAGGAGCTGTGGACCGATTTCAGCGCCAAACTATAGTATTTCCATAACATAAGCACACTTCATTTTTCTAAGATAGCTTACATATTAACCGATACATATAAGGTATGTAACCAACCGAATGTTTGCTAAGATTGTCAAGAAACTGGTTACCACGTGTCTTCAAAATATCTCAATTTTTACTGAAGATATAGCTAACACGGACTGATGGGGACATCGACGGACAGACAGTTACACGTATTTCAACTCGTCTCGCCATTCTGTTCATTTATATATACATAACTCTATATCTAACTCGGTTAGTTTTGGGTGATACAAACCAACGTTAGGTCAACAAAACTATTAATATATACTCTGTGCCACATGTCGTTATTAAGTAGCTAATAAATTAATATCGCTATCATAAACAAAAATTCAACAATACCAAAAAAATATTGTCTTTGCAATTTTCTCATATATTTTCCCAACTTTTATTATCTTTCATTTCATATGTCGTTATATGGTGATGGTAAACCGGTAAAACACCGTCGTGACAATGTCGTTAATGAACTTGATATAACTACAACAACGGCCGTTAAATAACGGATATAAACAACGAAATAAACGCGTGTCGCCACATGGTTACAACTGGAACTGCGAATATAACAACAACAACAAAAAAATCGTTAATAAAAATACATGCGCATTCACACTTCACTTCGACTCGGCTGTTGTATGTATATTAATGATGTATTGAACGCGTTAATGGGTATGTTGCTGCGGTCAATACACACATGCCACATGCCACCAACAACCGATAATCAACGAACAACATAAAATAACAACTACAAAAATGCGCAACATTTACAACTCACTGCACCTTGAGTGCGAACGATGTAATTAACAATAACCTGCTGCCTGACACAACAACAACAATAACAACAACTTCATCCAACACCACGAAATACGTCTGCCAATTAACTACATTTGCGTCAACGCTTGTGCTCATGTTAACTCAATCAATTGTTACATAATGTTGTACTGCATGCGGCACATACATGCACCCACACACACTTATATCCAACGTATTTGCTATGCATTGGCTTTCTTTGTACCGTTATGCTACCGAACCTTTCGCCATCGCCTTGCTGCCATCTGACATTGACGCGCACGTCAATCATTACGTTGTGCTGGCTGCATGTGCCTGCATCACACACACACACCCACACATATTTACAACGAAACTATCTAAATTTGCACCCTGTCGCATCGCAACGCATCGCAACGCATGCACTTAATTTACTTTTTACGCTGATTTGCTATGTACGCTCTCCGCCGTCAGCAGACCGCTTTCGTGCCGATGATATGTTGCAGGATTCACGCGAGGATTGCTATCTCTCCACTTTGCATATTCTACACACGGATGAGCACGATTCGCGTCCCTACTATCTAGTTGTGGAGAATGAGCGCGGCACCGATCGGCATGCCATTCATTTGAATGTGGAGGGTACGTTTACAGGTGCAGAGTGATTTCCATTTATTTATCACACATTAAATGTATATGTGATGCACGGACGTTAATGCTATTGTAGTAACTAATGTATGGTAGTATTTGGTATTTATTATAACGTATTGATTAATTTTTATTAACGAACATTTTTATTTTACAAATTATTATTTTTTTAATTTTCACTTTTCATTTCTGACGACTGTTAAATAGTTAATAATTACGGGCTTATATCCGTTAAAATTACCTTAAATCCAAAACCCACAAAACTGTAATACTGCTATAGATACATGCAGTTGATGATCGAAGAATTAGTCAAAATTTTAATTTTTAACAAAATGACGGCTTACCAAAAAAGTCGTTAAAATATAAACGTTTACACTACTTAGCTAAAAATCAAAATTTATAACAAAGATCTTATTTTTACGATCATTACTTGATAGAAAATATCTATCAGTTGAAAATTTCAGGCCGATCGGTACAGTCATCTCACCGACTCTAACATCACGTTTTGAAAAAAACACGATTAAAGTTTTGAAAGCCGACTAAAAAATTCGTACAAACACGCTAACATTTTTGAAACTATTTGCTGAATCGAATAAAAATTTTCGAAAAAGAATTAACTAATAATAATTTTATAAGCAAAAAAATCGATTTTTTGAAATTCATTAGCGGATATAACCCCTTAAAGCAAGTTAGTAACGTCATTATTTTATTACTAGTTTGCAACACGTGTTAAGTAAACTCAATTAAAACCTTTGTTAACATTTATTAAAAAATACACCGGAAATTATCAAGATCTCTTATAAAGTTCAACAACAATTTAGAGTTGTTATGTTACCATAATGATAGCTAGCTTGAATTTACTTCTAAGAAAATATAGGTGTACATGTGTACTTCCGCAGAGAAAAGTGTGTTTTAGCTCTTTAGAATAGTGTAGTGCTTAACTTAGCAAAGTTCTGCACCATTACAAAATTTTTATTGAACAAGTAAGAAAGGGCAAAGTTTGTTTGTAACCTGAAAGGTTGATCGATATTTTTGGTAAAAAGTTTACATATTTGGTATCAGCGGGTTTGAACAGTTGTGGTCCACTTTTGACAAGTTTTGTTCACAAGACGACACCCTTTAAACGCACTATTCGTACAGAGTTTTATGCTAATATATTCATTGATATTTGATTCGTCTATTGAAAGAATGAAATGGAATTTAAAATGGAGTTATATGGAAATTTCCAGTTTAAGCACTGTAACATAGATGTGATGTGCCGAATTTGGTTGAAATTGGTAGAGCAGGTGCAGAGATATGTGATTTAATCTACAGGTGGTCAAAGCTACGCCCATTGTTAGATTTTGACCAACCCCCCTTGGGTGCCAAGGAACACGAGTGCTAAGTCAAGATATATCAAGTTTTACCCAAGTAATCGCTTGCACGGACGGACAGACAGAAAGTCGGATTTCAACTCGTCTCATTATCTTAATCATTTATACAAATATAACCCTTTATATATCGCGATTAGTTTAAGGTGATACAAACAACCGTTAGGTGAACAAAACTTACTTTGTAGCAACATGTTGCGAGAGTATAAATATAACATGGCAAGGTTTTTAAACAAGGTCTTTAAATTTACCTATAAACGCAGATATATAGCTACTAATAACGAATTTGCAGTCGACAAGAGTGAATAAGTGAAAAAGTAGACTTGTTCTTAGATAGATAGATAGATAGATGTGGGAGGATATGCACCACGACCATAGGTCTATTGTGCCCTATAATTATTTTCATATTACTTCGTTTAATCTCAAAGCCTAAAGTCTGGACTTGTTTTTACAAAAGGCAACCTTTGCTACCCTGTTTTGTTTATTTGGTAAGATTTGCACCCTCGACAACACATTGAAAAAGATTGAACGATATCGTCCCTTTAAACACAGCAACTTCCAAATAAAATCCTGAAGCAGCTTAAAAATTATTTTTTCACACGAACCTCACATAGATTACGAGCTGTTGTAAAGGATATGCCTTTTAAACATATATGCCTTGCGTAGTGAAAACCTTACCCCCCCCTGACAATTTTAATTCTATTCACTCATGCACACGCTTATCACAACGTTGTTTATATTTTATCAACAACATCTAGTAATTGACATTTTACAGCGGTAATTTAATTTCATTTAATTTGCATAAATTAATTTTCGCTATTCAACACCGGTTGCCGCTGCCTGCCACAGCGACAGCGTCCGCGACGGAAATGCGGTATTTAGTCAAAAGGCTGAAAAATATCAAGCTATGAGCGCTTATCTTTTTGCATGTTAAGTAAAATTTTGCATACAGGAATACTAACGAACACACGCACACACATACACATCTACGCAGTTACCGAAATGCACACGCTTACGTTTATGCTTATGGGCGACAATTAAGTTGTAATTTGCTTGTCTTAATTTGCGATAAGCGTCACCATGCCACTCGCCACAACGAAAAGCCAAACGACGCACTGCCACTGTTGCAATCGCATGCGTTTATTTATTATTATATAGTGTTGGTTATGGTGTGAATTATGTTAATTTCTTCTTTCTAACTATATTGCATGCAATTTATGATAATTTATTTTGTAGTTTAATTCTCGTGTTCTTGCTGTCATTTGCTTGCTACACTGGCATAAATAATAAAAATTATAAGAAAAAGTGCTAGAGTTAAAAGAAAAATGTACCTATTTGATGAAGGGCGAATATATGTAAAACGGCACTTATTCACCTTAGTAATTACTTGGTTGCCGAGGCGTATGAATGGTATTTTGTTTATATGCTAAATATTTTATATATAAAATAATTGTATATAATTTTTTATTTTGTTCTTGCTTTAAAAAATTAAAACGCTGCTAACACCAAAGCTTCTTTTAAAAAAGTTACGCCAGCGCGTATGTGTAACATTTTGCATGTTAAAGGAACAAATGTACGAAGTTTAATATTAAAATTATGTCAATAGTTTTATGCAAAAATATCGGTTATCTTTAAATGCTACAAAAATCCCTTTTAAATATTTATTTTAGAGGTCATTAGGTTTGTGAGATAAAATATTCCATCAAGCAGTTTTTGTATATTATATATATTACAGTACGGTCTCAAAGAAGCCTAGTTTGTGAAAAAAACAAAAGAAATTCTAGCCAAGATTTCTACGTGCTAACACAGCTCTACAAAATCAGATTAGTTTTTTGTTGCACTGAATATCTTAGCAAAGATTTGCTTTCAAGTGTCCAGATTGCCACCTTATTCATGTAAAAATTGAATGTGTTTGTAACATAAAAATTAGTTTTCCAGTCATGATTAGGGGACTGCGCACGTTTTTCGTGCTTACAAACATGATCTCAACTCACTGGCTCCTTACCGAAAATATGCGAAAATTATGCGGAAAGTTTTAAGTCTTTACTAAAAAGAAAACGTGGAGATATCTAGAATTATCGTCTAAAAAATTTCTGTTTTATTCAATGAAAATTTTGCTTGCTTTTCAAAGGTAATTAGCGCACATTCAGAAAAAATGATGTCGCCAAATACCAAAATATCGGCAAAGTCTATAAATGGATGTGAAAAAGCATCTAAAGAATTTCAGTGGTTTAATACTGTGATCAAGTTATGGATGCTAAAACAATTTGTCAAACCGTTGGACGTGGAAGGATATTTTTTAAGTAGCATTTGTAAAAAATTTCCGAACTTTGTCGAAAATTTTCTAAGTACCCATAAAGAACAAAATTATGAAGAAATTGTGCAAAATATGCTCACAAGCCGAAACTTTTGAAAATTATGGTGAATAACATATAGAGTGGTTTTACCGGCATCTAAAAATTAAGAAAGAAAGACATCAACGTTGATGGGATCGTAATATTATGGCAAATTACTGCTGGTCCTTAAAAAGAAAATTTCAACAAAAAAAATTATAAAAGAAATGCGCATAAAAGGAGTTTTATTGAAAAGATATCTGCTATTTTGTTCAGGTTTTCCGATTTTTGTAGTGTGAATAGGCACAAATATATTCAAAATCGATCTTATATCTAAGGCAAAAAAACCACTTGTACAAGATAAAAATTAAAGACCCCAAAGCTTACCTGTCTAAAATTTTCACCAATATTTTGAGGTGATATAAAAGTTGTGGATCTTTTCATTACCTACAACCTTGCCATATAACTTTTTTCCATAGTAATCGAAGTTTTCTCTTCCCGACCTCAGATGGCCCGTAAATTATTTTTCGTTTCATATTTGTTATTTTATCTCACCACTGCCTTTCATCCTACTATGAATTTCTTTCAATGTTTACCATTTTCAAAGGCTTCTGATTTATTGTAATATGAGCTTAAAAAAGTTTATAAAAAATTTTCTACTTAAAAAACTGGTAAATAATAAAAAATTTATTACAAATGTTAGTGCTGAAATTCACCTTCCAGTAGAGCATTCAGCAACATTTTCAGAAGAAAAAAATAAAATCGTACAAGCGTATAAAAAGTTTGCTCAAAAATATTATTAAGAGCTGTCATCGGTGCGTATGCACGATACTTGGTTTTGCTTGATTTATTTGATTTTTAATTTTTTTATCATCTTGTAAATCTGAATAAACCCTAAGGTCTTAAAATCTAGTAGACAAATATTAAATATATATTAAAAAAACGTAAATAATGTAAAACTACTGAACAAAATTGTTGAATAATTGTATGACAGGGTAATTTCTCATGCTTAGGTATACAACAGCCATCACTAAATATCAAACATAATGCAGTCTTACAAAATTTATTTGCAAAAAAGTTTATTATTTTTTCTTATTTTTTATGAGCTTTGATTAAGACGCTGTAAATGCCGCTGCGTATAAGTAACCTTTGTTTGCATGAATAACTATAAGCTATATATAGTGATTTTCTTTTATCTCTCATCTACCTTTCACTACATAAATAAAAAATATCAAGGGCTTTTCTCGTTATTTTTGTAATTTCAATAAAAAAATACATTTATTTATACTTTTCGCTCACGCATTCGACCTCAACATGTACTCGGCTAATCTGGACTGCGTGGAACATAATTTTAAATTTCAACTGAAATATGCACTCATGAAACAAATAAATAAATACCTGCGCCATTAATAACCGCAATGAATATCAACCAAAACAACATAAAATATATTGCATTAAAAATATGCATTTACATTGAAATAATGCTAAATATTTTGTTTCAAAAATGCCTTGAGGCACTTAACGTTGCCTCACAACAAACAACAACAAAACACTCAACAACGCGTACCTATCTTTACATTCGTTATCCCGCTATCATTGCCAATGGCAACGCGTACGCCCGCCCGCCAACCATTGAACTAACACTACAGAACCACTGGAGATGAGCTATTTGCTCGGCATCGCCGGCGGCTGCCTGGCCGCGATACTCATTTTAATCTGTCTTTGCATTTATGCGGTGCGCAGCAAAAAATGCTGCTTCAAAGGTAAGTACTTGTGCTGGCAAGCAATGCAAAAGTATGCGCTATTTTAACAAGAAATTTTATTACAATCACACTTCACATGCCGTTCAATTCACACATACATATGCATAAGATGGTATGTATGACATGTACATATATAAATGTAAAAACTGTTAAAAATATACACACAAAAGTAGTTGCAGCGCTGTTGCATGCATTAAGTACATCATACACATAAGTATTAATATTTATTTTTGTTAAAAGCCTTTCATATACGTACATACACACATACATTTAATAAACATTTTTCGCTGTTTAAATCTTTACACACCTCCGTGCAGTGCATTTGCCACCAGCAAGAAATAAATATGTGAAAGTGCGCTTTTTTTCGCAGCATCGACCAATTTATTCCTTGCTGCATCGCCAATTGCCATTTTTGCCATTTTGTACTTCGCTCTCAAGTATTTCAAGTATTTTTAATTAAAATGTTCTTTACAAAGCCACACATATATACACGCACAAATATAATAATTAAGCATATGCACAAAAAAGGAAAAAGAAAAAATCGCTTGCACACTTCGTCCAAAGGAAATATTTTCAAGAAATTTTATTTTGACAGGGATCTACAGAAATACAATGCTATTATTACGGGATCGCTCACACCACCGAAAATCTCTCTTATTTAAATGTTGTATATTAAAAGATATTCATATATTTAGGTACTGCCTCTACCAGCAATCCTTCTGTAAAATCAGTACAGGAGTAGACCCATTTTTTTTAATAATACTACTTTTACAATATTCAGAATTTTATCTGTTTCACAATTTGACTTGTTGCTCCATGAATCTTTTTCCATCTCTAAGTAAAACAATCGCTGAGGCATCCGAATTGATAAAAAAAATGTATGGTGATGATTGTATGAGTCGTACTCATGTTTATACATGGTTTACATAATTTAAAAGTGGTTGTCAGAAAGAAGCTACTAATCGTGCCGAATTGATGGAAAAAGTTCGTGAAATGATCAGTAAAATTTTACTACAAGTTGGCTAAGGGATTAAGTACACATTTAAACCACGGACCGTAAATAATGATTACTGTTGCGATTTTTAAATGAAAAAATCAATCACTTAGAATCGACATACAAAAAAAAAAAAAAATAACGCCATGTTAATCCTTTTTCGACGATCTCAGCATTTCGGTGATGATTTTCGGATTCTTATAACTTTCTTCACCGATAATTATTAATTTTGATTAATTTTATAATAAATCATAAGTAATTATTGTGTTTGGGCAAAAAAAAAATAACAATCACATATAATCATTATTTGTTTTTTTTTACGCTCAAAATTAAACATATATTAGATCACAGGTTTCTTATAAAGGTTTTGGTAACTTCGTTATATGTGTACAATTTTTGTGTTATTCACAAAAGAGAAAAGTTAGATATACAACGAAGTTAGCAAAACACTTAATAGTTTTGTTTTGAGCAAAAAATAAATAAAAATCATATAAAATCATTATAAGTGATTTATGATTTTTATGTTTTCTGCTCAAAAATAATGATTATTTACGATCTGTTATAATAGTATCCAAAATTAATCTTTATCGGTGAAGAAAATTGTAAAACTCAATATGTTATCATTATTGCGTGATTTTTTAAATAGAACTTATAATGATTACGAGTTTTTGATGAAAAAACGGATCTCTCTTATCAACCACCCTAGAGTCCCAGAGGAAAGAATATGCTCTGAGTTTCTTTTGGTTTTGCCTTCAACTCAGATTTCGATACGTAGTACAGTGTAGACTGAAAACCTTTACTCGAAGTCCACTTCGCGTTATTCTCATTTTTAAAATGTGATTACTAATACCATTACGGTCAAGTACAATCATTACAGGATGTTGATAAGCGACACTTTTTGCCACGAATTAACCAGAATATATATATATATTTCCAACAAGACAGTACCTTATGTTTCACGTCTGAACATGGACGCATTGCGTGAAAAATTTACATGGTTAATTTTGAGAAATGGTCCAGTCAAATGGCCGCCAAGATCATGCGACTTAAAGCCTCTAGATTATTTTATCTGATGGTATGTTAAATTAAAGGTTTACGCCAAAGGTCAACCAGCAACGGCTCGAGGAGCTCGAAGACAACATTCAGCGCACTTCATCGAAAATTGGCCTGAACAGGTGAAGATATGCAAACGGTGCCGTGGTGACCATTTGGCCGACATTTTGTTCAAATCACAAATGGCATAACAGAACCCATTTTGACCAAATGTGAGTGTTTTGTTTTATTTTAACATCACGTCGTTCTTGTTGGTAGACTCTATATATATTAACAAGTGGACCGGAGCTTCACGGCACACTTTTGCTATTGTAGTATAAACTTAATCTCATTTTTACCTTATATGTTATGTTGCAATAATATTTAAAAGACTTTTGTGAATTATTGTGCCACATTATATACATAATAGACAAAGTCTGGTAAAATATATAGCGCACACTTGTGACGATTTTCTGGTAAAAAAAAAGGAAAAAATTATTTATTATCGAATATTTACCAACTTGGACCGCAAATTCCTTATTTATATTAGTTATTTTCTGAAGGCATAGATTGTAAAAATGTTTCCTTACTCTTGGATATATACATATATTTATATCGAATGTGAGCCAAATCGGGACAGTGAACCCGCATATTGGTAATATATTGACTTTGGCCCCATCTAGCGAAAGAATTTCACGCAAGCATAGTTCGATGATACTTACAGACATTTATTTGAAGCATAATAACCGAGAATTGAACTTTAGTAAAGATCTATCCAAAAACTCAGTACGCTCTTCCCATTGGATTCGGCACTGTAAGTTGTATTTATATACACTTTAATACGCTTACATACAACTATTTTTATATGCAATGACGATTACTATTTTGGGTCGCATTAAAGTTTAAATTATGAATTTTCAAGTGTGAACCTTTTTGGTCTATGAATTTATGGAAAATTAAGCGTTTATCCCCCAACAAGCAATATATATGGTATATGTTTTTGTTGGCAAACCCCAATTTACAACAAACATTTATTAAAAGTTTTCAAGTTAGCACTCGCCAATGGTCGATTACCCGCTTTTTTACAGTTTTGCTTGTTGTTACCGTTATTTTTTAATTTTTGCTCATTTATTTGTGCACTGTACTTTATGTATATACAATGAACTGTTTCTAAACGGAAAAGAAGGACGAAAAGAGAAAAATCAAATGTAAATTGTGCTAAAAATAGCATTCGAAATGGTATTCGAAAATGCATAGCAATGCCGGTAATGAATGTAAACCGTTTTGGCGAATGTAAATGGATGCTGAGCGCAAATGCGGAATGAGCAAAACGAAAGCAATAGCAACAATAATTGAGTGTAAAGCGAAAAACTGCGAATAACGAAATTAACATTAGCACAAACAATTAACATCACAAATACGTTTTATTAATTACTTGCACGTTGGTGCTAAATGCAAAAACACAAATACAAAAACAACAACACTTGTTGTAAAATATCTAGGAGCAGCAGCAATTGCATTCTTAAAGCATTATACTCTTATTTAAACAGTTCGAGATACATGTAACAGCACCAAAAATAAAACAGCAACAGCAGCAACAACAACAACCATATGCTGATTACGCTCGCTTGCCGCACAAGCCCATTATTTTGTCCGGTACTTTGCTTTTGCTGCCATTTTCACTGCCTCCGGTTATGTTGGCGCTAATTACAAAAACAACGCACACAACAACAATAGCGGCGAAATATGCAAAATAATGATATTTGAAAGGAAAAGCAAGCGGATAGCAAATGCAAAAGCAAATTAACAACAAAAATATTAAATATGCGCACGCGAAAATTTGTTTAAAAAAATCAACTTTTCCGGTAACTAAGCTTTCATTTCACAGAGAAGCGTATGCATTCGCAGTAATGCCAGACACCCTTTACTGCCGTTGTGTTCCACAGAATCATGCACACCCACAAGAAAAATCGTTAGCTTTGGCTGCACCGAAGTTATAATACCCTTCACAGGTGCATTTCTAATAGCAACAACGTGTATAACTAAAACTTTCAAATTTCGCGAAGATATCTTGCGAAATAAAAAAGTTTGACATAAAAGAATTTGATTTGGATCGATCAGTTTGTATGGCAACTATGTCCGATAGTGCTTCCAGAAAAGGAAAGGACGTGTTCAAAATTTTAGATCGATATCTCCAAAACTAAAGGACTTGTTCGCGTATGTACAAACGGAGAGACGGACGGATATGGTTAAATCGACTCTGCTCGTCACGGTGATCATTTATATACATACTTGTACATGTACTTTATAGCGTTGGGGCACACGCCTGCAAAATGTGAGTGCAGAAAATGTCAAGAGCAAGACTGGCATACTGGAAGATGGCTACTTCTCATGAACTACGTAATAGCACTTTATCTGGCATCGCTAAGGAGCAAAAATGGTGTATGCATGGCTCACAAGCCTACCAGACTAACCTAACCTAATCTCTGACGTTTCCTGCTGGGTGTTATAAACTTTGTGGCAAACCTTATATAACCTGTTCAGGGTATGCAAATCGAAAATAAATAATAAAATAAAATGTAAAAAGTACAAAAATGTCCACAACAAAAGCGGAAAAACAATGGATTGTGCCATAAAATTTTCATTAATACCTCTTCAGTCGCATTAAATAAAAAGAAAATTGCCCGCAGCTGTTAAAGCGAAAATTTGCGCCGCTCACGCAAAAACGAACGAAAAATTGTGCTTATGCCCAGCGTTCGGTCATTCGTTGTCCACCATTTGCTGCATGATATTGTTGTCAGTGCGCTTATGGTATTTTTGTAGTCGCCATTATAACTGGCAGGCTCTTTAAAACTTTGTTGTTGTTGTCGTTTTTGTTGCCATTGCACTTCCTTACGTCACCTCCGCTCAGCTGTTTCGTATTGTTTTGTTGGCGTCGTCAGAGTCTTTCCGCTTTCGCTTGTGGCTATGCTGCAGTTATTCGCCATACCGTCATTCGCCATTTCCGTTTCCGCTCATCGTCGTCGTCGGTGGTAGTCCTATCAAGGGTATTGTCGTGCGTTGTAACATCAAGTCCCTACGTCAATTGCCGTTGCTCTTATCGCCGACCATTGCAGCTGTTGACGTTGCAGCGTTGCACGGTCATTGACCGCATTGTAGTGACAAGCTGACACAAACTATTGGAAGTGTTTATTAGACTATCAACATAATAGCATATAATGAAAGCAGACACAATTAAATTGTGAACTTTAAATAGTATCGAATCATCGCCATTGCTCATATCAAGCATAGCTGCGACCAGCTTCAATAAATATGTTGACGATCGACCATATTCTTGATGAGAGTTTTTGGTACTAAATTTTGAATTATTTGCTTTTAAGCAATTGTTTGAAGATCACGTATTTTCGGTTAACATATAATATAACACATGAAAAGTTTTCTAATAGGGTCGAATTATTCCTTCAAAGCAGCCTATTAATACTGCCGAAACGCCTGATAACAAAATTAATGAACTTTGTGCACAAATTATTGATTATGGCATGAAACACTTGGCCCCATTAATTCGATTACTTGGTTAATTCTGAGCTCGCTCGTCACTAACTTTGCAGAAAGCTTTCGTGCATTCAAATTTCCATAAACGATATGTTAAACACACTCCTTTAATACCTTTAGACTATCAGCTTTCACGAACAACTTAATTTTACAGTTATGGAAAAACAATTTTGTATTTTTTCTATAATTTTTATTTACATACATACATCATAACAGCTTCTTTTGACATTTACTCCTTTCATCCTGTTCGATGAATGCATAGCAAATACGGAGCTTAGTATACCAATTATGCATGTGGCAGACCCGGAATAATACTCAGCCGGAATAATACTTTATTGAAAAATGTTCCAAAATACATAGACAATTTTTGACGTCAAAACACATCGAAGTTGATTCCATACTTAATGAAACCATCCATTAAAGCTTTCTTTTTCGAGCTCTGAGGCCTCAAAGCAACATTGAAAACATTTTTATTAAGAACTGCTTCATCAAAGATTGCAGAAATCCTTCATTAATAAATCCCTAAACTGAAAACGAAATATCACCGTCTATATGAAATGTCAACATAGAATTTTTAATATTATTTATATTCAATTACGCACACGACCGCTTCGTAGGGAGCCAACTAGGCGAGTGAGCCGCGCTGCACTTTATTTCATGACATCGACTCCCCTCGTGTGGTCCAATAACGCCTACATTATGTTGCAGCCTAGCCGAGCGGGTGGCCGCTCATCACATGACTTTTTTCTAATACTTACATTTTTAAATTCGTAATATTTTTCGAATGGAATGTTCGAATCCAATAATTCGAAAAGTTATATAAAGGTATTGAATCAGTCTTGGATATGAAGTAATTAGTTTTAATAAGTATTAATAATAAAGTACAACTAAAAAGCTTTTACAGAGGCGGCATTTTTTTAATTTTTTTTTTTTTAATAAAAGAACATTTATTGTGTGGTAACTATAACAGTTAGACATTTTTTGTAGATATGACAGACATTATGTAGTTATAACATGCAAGTAATACGTTCAAAATTTCGAAAACATTTAATCTGACGAAATTGTATAAATCAATGCATACAATTTTCTAATGTTAGCACTAAAACCTTAAGTAACTTAAGCTGCTGTTTGTGCTTCAGAAACCAGCTTCAAGTTCAGAATTTGGAATCTCTCGTATTCTGTGTGCCGTATCGATCGAGCGAAGTGGCAACACTAATACCTTAGCTGTCAATCAAGCTGTCAATTTGCCAACGGCGTTTCGACTCAAAGCCTCAAGGCTTCAAAACTACAAAGAGTGTCAGTAAAAGTTTGACAGTTACACGTTTGTATGTATGTATGTGTGAAATTATGTATGTACACATAGTGACATTGTATTTTTGCCTACGTTCGTCCTCTACACGTTGTTGCGGTGTCGAATTAAATTTGCGCAACAAAGAATTTGTACAATAACCACTTTACTTTGGGCAAGAATATGTGCAAAGCTGCAACTCAGAACTCAGCTGCTAAAACATCACCCAATAAAATTTGTTTGTACGCTTCCGCACAAATTCCATTCCCTATCATTTGGTATGTATGTATGTATTTATATAAATAAGTATGTGTTTATGAGTGTGTATGCATAAGTATGTGTATACAAAAGAAGCATCAGCTGCGAAGCTCAAAATTTGTTCAACATACGAGTAGTTGACTGCGCTGCACTAATCTATCATCCGAGGTATGCTAACGTAAACCCAACATACCATACATATGTACATACACATACGAGTGTGAGTAAGCCAACGACAGATAGCAACTAATTTTTACAAACTTTTGAAAAAAAAAAACAATTGTTTTTAACGATAAAAAGCGGGATGTAGTATTTGTATTAGGGTCGTTATGAAAACTTGCAACTGAAGAGACGGTTAAGGTATGTCGAACAATGTCCAAACTTCAAACTGCTTTCATAACTGTTATGACGACTCCAAAAGGAACAATTTTGTTTTCTTTCGTTATTTAATTATAAAAAGCTATAGTAGTTTGAAGTTTGATCTCTGTGCTATACCCTTTTCAACTAAAAACAAACGTTCATTTAATTTAATAGCTCACCTAATAAACATACAAACATTCAAAAGTAACACATGGAAATTCTATGCAAATTTCAATAACAAAAGTCTGCTTACATGTTTCTTTTTTTAAATTTTTTCTACTCTCTTTCGATTTTGCGTTTTAATATAATATTTGTAGTATTTATTCTAGCAATTTTTACTCACCTTTTTATTTCTGCTTACAGGTAGTTCCGGCTATAAATCATCAGATAAAGACAGGTGAGCTTGCAATATTACACAGTTTTGCATATGTTTATTATTTATGGGTATATATATGCATATATACTTGGACTTTGGATATATATATGTATATATATATATATACATAACCTTTTATCCGCTGGTGTTATGCCATTTTGTTGCAACAGTTCATTTGCTAAACCGCTGTGCCGCATGCTGTATTTAGTGTTATATATGAGTACATAAGTAGGTGTGTGAATAAAATTTGAACAGATATATAAGTATTTTTTTAGTGATTGGTGTAAAAAATTTAGCGAAAGTATAGATATATAATGAAATTGACTTGATGATTTGTTAAGTTAGATACGGATGACCTTTTTTTTCTAAAAATAGTAAGTTTTTTATAAGCAGCGTATTTTAAAACAGGAAAAACTTTTAATTTCGGCTTCATCGAAGCTATACTAGGTTTCTCAGGTGTATTTTTTATAACATAAATAGGTATAGAAAGATCTTTTAACGACACCTTGGATACTAATCTGTACCAAATTTCGTGTATATACTTTGATAAATAAAAGCGTTTTCCATACAAGAACTTGAGTTTGATCGGTCATATAGCTGAAGCAGCTATATGCTACAGTGGTCTCATCTAAACAATTTTTTCGAAAATTCTACCGTTACCTTCAAAATAATCCATGCCAAATATTTAGATATCAAATTAAAAAGTTTTCTATATAAGGATTTGATTTTGATCGTTCGGTTTGTATGACTGGTATATCCTATAGTGGGTCGATATCGGTAGCTCCGTCAAAATAGCAACTTCTTGGGGAGAAAAAGACATGTGCAAAATTTCGATATCTCAAAATCAGATGGTTAGCGTATATAATCGAATCAGCTCTTAAATATGAATAACACTGGTTGTTTTATTGCCCCGGATATGAGATCGACTTTGGATATATTTGTGCCCACAGTTAATGAAACTATCTATAGTCTTGTAAGAGATTTTCTCTCGTTGATTTTTAGATCCTTATATTCAATTTATGTAACAAAAATCAGAAAACATGAAAATAAATTACAGGTATATTTATAATGTCAGTTTTGTTTTGAAAAATAAGGATGCATCGAAGTAAACAGAGAGGCAAATGTCCAAAACACAATAATAATCAATTCAATAAATCGCCTTTTACGAGCTTTTCTTTTATAATTTTTCAGTCGACAATCTTTTTTTAAGTATCAGCAGTTATCTGTCCACCATCACGTGACGATCCCATCAACATTAGCACCTACCTTTTATCACTTTTAAATCATGGTAGCACTGCTAAATCTGTTCTTCACTATTACTTCCACAACTATTCGATGTTTTATACAGATGATTACGGAGAGAATTTATCTTGTTATTCAAATTTGCTCCTAAAGTCTGAGAGTTTGTCAGCATATTTTGCGCAATTTGTTCATAATTTGGTACATAATGGTTACCTAGGAAATTTTTTACTCTCAAAATTAAATTTATTAAATTTCCGTAATTCACTTTCCAGAAAAGTCATAATTATGATAAAATGTGAATTTTTCAGATTTTGCTATACTAAATATTCGACCTTTCAACTTTTCCATATTAACAATATTGTTTCACCCTCTTATTCACATCCATTAGTAGACTGTACCGATATCTGGGTATCAGAGTAGTCCATACGGGAATGTTTGTATGCGCAAAAAGGTCCCCAGAATGCTAATCATGACTGGAAAAATAATTTTATTACTAACAAGCGAATAATTGATTAAAATATAAGATTGCAAAAAAAAGAGCATATTCAATACTTTGATGAACAAATTCATAATCTGGACAATTGAAAGCATCAAATTTTTATAACATACAAAATTGTTTTTTGTTTTGTAGAGCTGTGTAGTGAATAAGCTAAAATGATGGAGAGATGACAGTAGACCTCAACCGAATACCATCTGTAACATTAGACATAGACAGTTTCCGGAAATTGTAAATGAAACAATAATAATAATTTTTTATCTTCATTAATATTTATTTTGTTGCCTTCAAAATATGCTCCTTCTGAAGCGATACACATATGCCACCTCTTTTTCCAATCATCGAAACATGCCTTGTAAGCGCTGTCCGAGATCGCCTTCAGTTCTCTCTGCGAATTTTCTTTTACGGCCTCAATCGAGTGGAAACGGGTTCCACGGAGTGGTAACTTGTGTTTTGGAAACAAAAAAAGGCGCATGGGGCCAAATCCGGTTAAAACGGTGCTTTATCAATTGTATTCAACGAACAAGCCGAGCATTGACGCGTCTCTAAATTATCGGTCAAAATCTAACGAGCTGCTTCACGGCCGATGTTTAGCTTACATGCTATCTCTTTAACACTCGCATGACGATTTTCGAGCACGATTTCGTTCACTTTTTTGAAGTTATCATCATCATGGTAGACGTCGAAGGACGACCGGAACGAGACATTTCTTGACTTGGGTTTTCGATAGAATAGATTCACCTAAAGCCTTTTCTAACATTATTTGTTTTCCACAATGATTTTCTTTACTAATTATATAACATATGGTATGTGTATTATAACATCTCTTACTTCTATTTCATCCAACAATATGCATTTACATAAGATTGTTAGTAATTTACAGTTACCTTAATAAAAGGTTATTAACTAATATGTGCCAATCCCAAACCCCAAAGGCTAAATCAATTTCAATCTAATTTTACCGGAACAAATCCGCAAATATATTCAGTACACGCTTTAGCATGCTTACCAAACTATTTTTATAAGCACAAGTATACATTTACAAATTCGTTTCATAAATAGTGTTTAGAGTATGACAAATGTACGCGTATGTTTATGTATAGAAAGCAGGGTCTGCTGTGTTGCGCAAAACTCATTGGAATTTCAACCACAACGCAATCATTTCCAAAATTGTTATTAGGATAACCACCGTTGACTACCTAATGACAACAACAATTTACTTGATAATGTACAGCTATCGATGGTTTTGTTTTTGCTAAACAAGCATAACTACACGCTTAGAAACATAGAAATTCTACACATATATACATATAGTAGACGTATATACGTATGTATGATTGTATGTGTGCGTGGAATAAATTTTAACACTGTCGACACGTTTGTCATTCTCGCCATAGCCAAGAGCTCATTTACAATTCAATTCATTCTAACAATGTTGCTTGTTAAGTTCATAGAGCGTTGACAGATTTCTACACTATAGTTGGCACACTAGCACAATTCACATAAATTGTGTTAGCTTAAGGGTGGTTTGGTTGGTATTGTTTTTAAAATACTTTGCTGAATTAATCAACTCACCTCATTAGTGGGTTCTAGGTTTTACCTCTACTAGTGATAGCGAGAGAATAACGAGGGTTATTACATGAGCCATTGAATTGTTGATTGAAGCATATTTCTTTGCAGAAACAGTTTTTTTTTTTTGTTCAATCTCACTTCTTCACAGCTCAATCATATAAGCTGAAGTAATATGAAGGGTGACTTTTTTTTAGACATGTGGCTTTCAAGAAGAAATAAAAGGCATATAATTTAATGTCATGTCCGAGAACTTTGCTTCATTATAAAGAAAGAGGTTTACCATAACGTTTTCAAAATGATTTCGACCCGCAGTGCCCGCCGCAACTAACTTGAATAAATTCCAGACAAGAGGTCCACATTTTGCAGAAATTAGAGCCGTATGTCAGCGCCGAATATTATTTTCCAAGCAGTCTTCTCCAATTCAGCCACGAAAAATTCTTTAATTATGACTTTATAGCGTTCCCATTGATTGTAACATAACGACTGACTTCTACCCAAAGAACACAACAAACAGTGACTTTTTGAGGCTGTAACTGCATCTCAACAATGACTTGGGTATTATCATCACTCTAAATGCAACAATTTTGTTTGTTAACGTACCCATTCAACCAGTAGTGAGCTTCATCGCTGAACAAAATTTTCTTATGATAATCGGGAACGATGGCTACCTCGTTTTGGACCCATTCACCGAACGTGCGACGCGTATGATTATCGTCGACTTTAATTATTGGCGCGCGCGATGGGGCTCCACAGCAGCGATAGCGCACTGTACAGCGTCTCTGAGGATGCGATGCGCCACGCGAACCGAACTATTATTTTGGTAATAAAGTTGCATACGTCGTTCCGAAAACACTGACCCGCCTTTTTCAGGTATTTCATACACTTGCAGACTATAAAAATGTTGCTTTGAAATATTCTGTGATGATGCGCTGAACTTTCCAGAAATATCACATAACCGTGCCGCCTAAGAAGCTGCTAAACGCCTTAGAAGCTATTACCATATACACCAGCCGGAAAGTTGGGCTCGTAAGAGACCTGCAGAAATGGTTTATTCTATGAAACGTTGTTTAAAAATTGACTCAAACATGACTTCTGTGATGACTATTTTTGACTCAGGAAACTATACACGTATATCGAGAATGAGTTAATTTAAGTGAGAGTTGCTTCTACCTTTTCTAACAAATAATATTATACTTACTTGTATCTAAGATTGGCATATAACAGCATTAAGAGAATATTCATCAATGTCGCTATCGGAACTCAATCTAACGGTATCTTTATAAGATATTACTTCAAGATTTCCGGCTTATACTGATTCTACATCCACATCATACCTTTTTCCCAGTAATACTTATTGATCCTAAGCATTGTTGCTATCGAAGTTATAAAAATACTAATTAACATTTTATTTTATTTTTCTCTCTTCATTAACCAGTGAGAAAGCCGATTTGAAATCACGTTCGGACAGTACCAGTGGTCCACAGGGTGATTCGATATATACCACGCCAGCTGGCTTTCATCATCATCAACAACAGCAACAGCAACAACAATTGCAACAGCATAATCAACAAGCGCAACAACAACAACAGCAACAGCATCATCATTTACAAACCGCACACGGATCACCGGAGGCAATGAAGGTACGCATGGCTGCAATGATTTTACAGCCGCCAACTAGGGTCTAGCAGGCAATTAATGATAATAATAAAAATAATATCAATAATATGAATCATACATTTAACAATAACAATAATAATACGAATAATAACATCAATAATATTGATAGTAATACGAATGTCACTACTACAACAGCAACAACAACAACCATGACAAATAATTTAGTTAGTGTTAGTTGTGGTGGCAACAACGATTTGCAAAATAACAAACATAACAATAACAGTAATAGTAGCAGCAACACTACCAACAACAACAACAACAACAGTAGCAGCAGCAACATCAAACCTAACACGTTGCAATTAAATGCAACAACAAAAAATTTATTAATAACAGACCACGCATGTGCAACTGACATAGACGCAAAAGCGACTGTAGACGCAGCTGACGCAGACGCCGACGCTGACGCTGACGCAGCAAACGAACCCAAACAAATCATAGACGCACTTGTGAGTACTGACGGTAATGACAATAGTACTGACATGTGTGAAACAATTATGAACGAAAATCGTAAGCAAAAACAAAATAAAACGGACAGAGAGAAAGACTTGCAACGCGAATGCGCTTCTAGCACTAACCCAAATAGCGCAAATTCAAACACAAAATGGCAGCAATGCCAACAACAGACTTCTACAACAAAAACGACAACAACACAAAGAACAACAGTATCAAGCGACGCCAACATTGACAAATGCGACACAGGAATTGAATCAATAATTAGCAAAAATATTAGCATGTCGAATAATAGCACTTCCAAAAGCAGTGGTAATGAAAGTAGTGGTGGTACTATGAATAACGGTAATGCTTCCTTGAATTTTTTAAACGATACCAAAGCACCTAATGGTGTAAGCGGTAGCGGTAAGCAGTTAATTTTGAATATAACCGAGCCGCATGCAATTGCGGTCACCGACGACAAGTTAAACAGTATACGCGCACACCAAAAGCAGCGCCACAGTCAGCGACGCTTGCGCACCAAAGCGCTACTTGACAGTTTGCCAAAAAGTATGAAAATGCTTGGGCGCGCTGAACAAGTGGGCGATTACGAGGCGCTTATGGCCGGTAGCGATGAATTGCTACAAAGATTGAGCATAAATAATCCCTTCTATTGCTTTCGCAAGCAATCCAACTCTTTGAAAGAAATGCGCGCCTTGACGTGTAGTGCAGTAGAACGCCGCTTACGCAAAGTGCATTCTGATACAGATATATTCAGTTGGCAGCTAGTGCGCAACGTTGACAGGCAAAGCAATGATGCAGCTATGGTGCCAGAGCGTTTTGCGCGCATTGTGTTGGAATGCACAGGTGAGGCGTTGTTAGGTATGAGGGACACGCGTTCTAGTGTATGGCATTGCTATGCACCGCGCAAGCGTGGTGATACTGCTGTACAATTAACCGATACAGACGGTAGTGTTGTAGTTGTATTAGATAATAAGCATTCTAGTTTAGTAAGTAAGCCGAAATCATTAAATAGCCTAGAAGAATTGCTGAGTGATAGTAGCGCTGAGGGAGCTGAATACAACGCACGCGGTTATTTGTTAGACGCCGCCGCGGCAGAACACGCATTTGCAGTTAGCACACATGAAGCGGATAGCAGTACTGTTATAACGAATCCTTTCTCCATTTTTCTGGATGACGACATGCAAGCGGAGCATTTGAGTGCCAACGCGAGACTACGCGCTGCTTCAAGCGCTTCGCAACAACAGCGGTCACTCAAAAAACGACAGCGCTCAGAACGTTCTATACGGCGGCTCTTCGAGGGCGGTAGCGTGGCAAGCGCCAAGCGTGCACTAGATAACAATACTAAACAACAAACAAACGAAAATGCGCGTCAACATTACTTGAATGGCATACCTGTGAGTCGTTTCGAACGGCAAGATTTTGTTAATACCAATGCCGCTATAACACTAAGCACATCAGCAAAATCACACAAACTCAAACCGAGACATGTCTTCAAGAATCTCTCGCTACGTAAAATGCACAAATCGGCTAGTGGTTTACCAGCCACGACATACGCAACTACAACAAACGCCGCCGATACTATCAGCGATCTGCCACAAATGAAGAAACTCAAAATCACCTACCCGAATCGCACACAAAGTATACACAGCGCGTTAGATGTCAGCGCTAGCGTGCGCCTTAACATTGCGTTAGTAAGTCCCAGTAGCGCCGGTGGCAGTGGTAAATATTCCTATTTTGAACGGATACAAGCGAAAACGCGTCAGGGACTACAAAAGTTACGCGATAAATGTCGTAACTTTAAGCACGCAAGCGCCGGACATCAGCAGTATGCCAGCAATGGTAGTGGCTTCAGCACACTAGCCAAAGATGACAGCTTCCGCTTTATAGGCGATCGTGCGCGTATCAGCAGTTATGAATCGAAATGTGCTGCGCTCAACGCAAATGCTAGTGGGCGGCAGCAGGCCACCATCTATAAGAGTTATAAGTCTGAAATTGATCTGTCTAAGAATTTACATTATCTCGATGCTTACTTGGAGGAGAATTTCGAACAAAATCTGCGCAGCACGAAACAGTCAGCGCACTCAGTTGGACGCGTTGCGGCAGGGCGTTTACAGCGCCAACGACAAATAGATAACAGTGACATGAGGCAAAGTGAAAATAGTAGCTCGCCGCGCTACTCGAAGCCACTGCGCGGGCGTACACATAAACGAAGTCTTTCGGCGGCGCAAAAATCATTAACAACCACAGAGCAAAGAGCGCCAACCAACAACAACTATGAGAATCTTGGCACTCTGCCGATAGCTAAACGCGGTTGCTCCGACTCGCTTAGTAGCTCGGATTATGCTTCCGTATTTAGTGGTCCCACATTAGCAGTAGAACAAGCAACACCGGTAAGCTCAATTGGTGCAACGGATCCCATCACGCCTTCTCTAGCAGACGATACGAGTAGCAGTGCGGGTCTCCGTTATGAACATCCGAAAATGTCACAATACTTTTACAATAAACTCGCCGTGGAAGGTTCCGCTAATCTCCTATTATCTGCAGAGGAGCAAAGATGCAGTGAAACGGCAACTTCTTTCTTCAATACCTCCAATGAAGATGATTTAACTGACGAACGCAGTGATTTCATGAGCTTAGGCGCTGGTGGGGATCCCGCGCTGTTGGTTGATTACAGACGTGCAGCCAATTTGGATGATAGCATACGTATACTAGTTAACGAAGCTGAAGATAAAGATTTTCAATTGCAACAACATCGCGAAAGTCATGTTAAGCAGCAATGCAACGCTGGCGCCACTAGTGATTGGCATCGACCCGAGCAAGAACAGCTGAGCGCAGCAGATGAGCGCAATTTCTTGTTGGCGTATAATGAAAATCTAGCCGAGAGCCATTTCTATCGTTCACTCAATCAACACTTACAGCAACAACAAAAAGACATTTATCTAGATGTAGAAGAAAATGGAGTGCTTGGCATTGATGCGGCTGTCAAGAATGAGCGGCGCGACGACAAGGATTTACATTACGAAAGCTATTTAGATCATTTCTATCACGCAAAGAGTGGCCAACACACGCGTAAAGCAAACTCGATTGGATATGATGATGAGCGCGTTGGTACAATTGGCGTTAATGGCATTGATAATGAGGACGACGGTGCGGAGAGTGGTTATGTGGCGCGTAGCGCCTTCAGACGCGCTGCGCGTGGCAAGAAAGCTGGCGGTAGTGCTTTTGAATTGCGTCATAGCGCATTGCTCTTGCTAGGCGAGCAGCAAGGTAATAAAACAGCTCAAGATGTAACAACAACCCCAAATCACGCCGCTTCCTATGCGCGACAACTCTATCATTTCAATGTTGATGTAAACACTGCAGCGCTGGCACCGGAAGAAAGCGCGTATAGTGTAGATGCAGATAAAGTGAAATTGCCAATGACAGATACATTCGTTGCAACACCTAAGCCATTAGGTGCCAATTTAATATTTAAAAGCAGGCAACAACAAGATAATATAGTATTTGGCGGAACGAATACGATGTCATTGGCACCAGTAGAACAACAAAATGAACGGCAGTTAAATATGGCGACCAAATTACTAGAGACACCAAAATCTACAATAAATTCCCTATACGCTACCGATGCCTATAACTCGTATCTTGCAACAGCGCCTAATGGGATGAAAGATATAAATTCGCGACATTTTTACAACGAAGCTGCCCCACAAAATTCTACAGCCAACGCATTAATAACGTTGCCTGTACCAGCAGACAGTAAAACGCCTACCAAATTCCAACAACAAAGTGGTAGCGGCATAAAGGCAAACATATATTTGCAAGCGCAACAACAGGCGCCGTCAACAGCTGCTAGCGCATTGCTCATTGACGGCAAAAAACATGGCGGAAATCCGGAACAAAGCATGGCAGCATCGTGCGGTGATGCAAGTAATCCCTACATGTTGGACAACATTCGACGACATTATCAACCACAACAACAACTGCATCAGCAACCAAAACCAACAAACTCCGTCAGCTCGTCGCTGTCGCTGTCGACGTCTTCATCGTCAAATTCGTCCGTTTCACAGCCTATGGTGCACAATCAACAACACCAGCAGCAGCAGTTGTTGCTACCTACCGCAACCACGCATGCCAAGCCCATTAAACCGCAACAACATCAGCCAGCATATGGCGCCAGCGCTTATCATGTGCGCCGCAATTCGACGGCCTCCAACGCCTCATCTTCTGATAATTTCGATACATTCATCGCGCTGCGCAGCGCAAAAACAACAAATGATGTTGAATTGCCATCACCAGCATCTATCAATAGCGCCGCATTACAAACAGATTATCTACTTAGCACGAAACGTACAAATATCGCCAATAACAGCAGCAGTAACGCAAGCGCTTACCAACAACGTCAGCATATGTTAGTAGGCGCTCATACACGCACACACGCTGCTGTTCACTATCCCACCTCGCCGTCAAGCGGCGGCAGCAGCGGCACTGTGCCACTCATCAGCGCGCTCAA